GACAAAGAACAAATCGTATAAAAATTCGTCAGCATCGCTGATCTCAAAAAGGGCTACGCTTCCGAGATAAAAAATTATGTCGGACCTTACCCTGCTTGCTACATGGCCCAGCTGGTCCCATTTATCCAAGATAAGAATAATAATAACGGCAGTAGTTTTATCCCAATATAATAGATTTAACATGGGAGATACCAGTTTACACGCATCATCAAGTTGACAATTCCTGAAAGTTTATACGACGGTATTTGTTATCAAATGACCCGCATATTAAGTTGTTGGTGTGCATAGTCCCACTAAAATCTGCTGCAGTGCATTGGAGGGACATGAATTTACCATCTTCCACCACATAGATAGCTTCCGCTACTAGGACCAGGAGCGCATAGTTTTTTAAGTTTGTATAACAGGAAGCAGATGTTGTTAGTTCGTGTGCGTAGTCTGTTACTTAGCGATGTCTGTCTGTAAATAGACAAGCCCCTTAGTTTCTAGCTCTGCAAACCCCAGAGGGCCCACGTATACCATCTGGAGCATCGGTTAAAGTCTAGTTATATAGCCAGGGTGAATGTCTAGATCAATGCATTCCTAGTTCACGTGTTACATATAAAGGTAATATAGATTATTGCTATAAGGAACATTCGTTTTAGTGCTTGGAAATAGACCTTGAAACGGTTAACCATTCAAATGGCGGTAGTTATGCATAAGCTCAAGGTAGTTATCGCACGAACATAATCAGCAAAATTCGAGAAGTGTGGTTGATGCATAGTGACTTCCATTTGAAAAGATTACCTGATGCAGAAAAATTGTGGTGTAGGGCGAGTGGGGGTAGGTCGCCTTTCAAACCAGTAGGTAGGTTGGTCTCACGTTTAATCGTTTCAGAATATCTCTGCTATATAACTACCGGGAAGATTGGGACGGCTCGTCGCCGGAGGAATCCTGGCCAGTGGGTGAGTAAACTGTGAAGATGTTCCAGAAACCGCGAAAGAGTGGAAGTGGTTCGTAATTCTTGGCGTCGTACAGCAACTATTATTTCCCACAAGTGTCTGTGTTCAGACTGAAATTCAGCATCAGATGTCCTCATCGAGTTTTTGCCGCAAAGAGTAAAAAGGAAGGAGAAGCACGAGTGGATATGTAAAAGGAAATTACAACGCAATCTAACCTGAAGGAGGGAGAAGTTCCTACTCTTTTAGACCCATTCAAACTTTACGTACATTTTTTTAGTGGATTCAACCACATAGGCTCCTAGACTTTTCCGTATCTGGAGTGTATCACAGTGGATTTTGGAGGAAAATAGCATGCATTTGGTGCCTATACTGAGGGGCGATAGCACTTTCTTAGGCAACCGTAAGCCCATCGGTATAAGTAGAACTCGAGGACACTAATGACCCTGTTTCGTACACTCGGAAGTCAAGGTGCATTCTCATTAGCCCAGAGCGCAAAGATGGTGACCAGATTCGTGACTGACTCATCATTTACCAGAAGCCTATTAAGTGAGAAGTGGAAAAGCGTCAACGAACTTGCCATAAGGGGTTCTTCTGGAAGCCTATTTCCCAAGCGACAGAATTCACCGAAGAAGAACTTGCCTCGTAGGCTCGCCTCACAACACTCAGTTTCAACTGGTACTTAGGGTTGCTCATATCATACGAAGACGTCACAATTAGCTTGATTTGCTGACCATGAAAGTGCAAGTGGTGACGAAGTAACCAAATATAAGGTTCGGTTCCGAGTGGTTCCGACCCCAGCAAGCTACATCTGTATGTGTAGTCTACATTGGAGTCAGCTCCTAATGTTCTGGAGGTGACGTAACGTTATACTCCTTGGGCTTTCAGCTTATCGCTTATACGAAGACCAGTGAGAATAAACAGGCAATATTCCAAAAGTGAACGAGTTCACGCTTCATAGAATAGGACCCATGATTCAGTGTTATAGAAGCTACAAACGATACATCCCAAGAGTCCACGTGACTCAGATTTGATATGAGCCGTTTGTCTCGAGAATTTCAAGTGTCAGGGATACCGGATGCCAAGATTTAGCACCAAAGAGCGTCCCACACGCCTCGAAGGTCAGGTCGCCTATACCTATGTCACCGGTGTATGGAAATGTTTTACCTTCGCTGAGGCAGTCACACCCACTGTTGATATAAATTATAAACAGCAAAGGATACTACTCAGTGTGACTCTACTAGCCACATGTTTTGGCTCAGACCGCACGGAGTTTACTTCCACCATACGAGCACAACCACTAAGAAATAATTTAACCTAACCAAGTAAGAGGTTACGGATACCAACCGATAGTAGCTTTTTGAAGGGTGTTTTGTGAGACACATCAAATGACTTTGACATGTAGAAGTAGGGAACAGTGATGATTTTTCTTGCGCCGCGTCTACTATTGATGAAGTTGAGGAAATCAGCTTGACAAACAATCCAGGACCTAGTCTTGATGAAACCATGTTGAGGCTTTGTGATTAGATTTTCTGCCAGTAGTTAATAAGAGGTGAGGCTCCGGATTACTTTTTCCACAATTCTAGAGGAAACCGATGTCATATTGAAGAGTCTGTAACCACTGACGTTCGACTTGTCCCAGAACCTGTAGCAAGACATCATATGGCTAGCTTTTCATTCGGTGGTATACACTGCACCTTCCATTGATAGAGTGAATATCTTAAATAGGAACGGAGTCGTATCATCACCATTGCTTCTGATGACGGCTGGGTTTAGACTGTCCACTCCGATACCTGTTGACAGTCGCAAGTTTTTGGCAGACCCCGCGATACTTTTAGCAGAAAATTCTACGTCGGCGCATGAACCCGTAGTAACCAGCGTAAAAGTGGTGGTCCCCCCGCTGCTTACATGCTTATAACGATTTCAGATGCTATGTGTGGCTTCAACTGGGAGTCTGCAATATGGTAGCACATCAACACTCAGAAGAAACCGTAATTTCCCTGGTAAGATACAACAACGTGCAACAAAATCTTTTGTCGGGCTAAGGAGGAAGGCGTACTCAGACAGGTTAAAGCACGCAAACCATTTCATTAGGTTTTTCTGGAAGAGGGGTGACCTTACTGTGATCCACTAGGTCATCTACCAGGTAGGTCACGCGGGAAAAGCAATCTTACCTGAAACATGTCGGTCATTACGACCAAATTCCACCAAGATAGCACATCGGAGAGCTCTAGGAGGCTGTATGTGCCACTGATACGCAGCTCCCAACAAATCCCACTTAACTCGATCTGCTCTGGTATCCGCTCAATCAGAAAACTATCCTACGTTTAGGTTGAAATTAGGTTGAAGTCAAAATGATCGCCATTTAAGTACGCTGCCTATCAGAATACACCCTTGAATAACAGTCATTTTGACTTGTGTCACGTTATTAGTGCTTACACGTTCTTTAAGGTGCTGACCAAGAAGGCACTAGAGACATCGAGTTGGGTAGGTTCTGTTAAGTGTTGCGTAATAGCGACCCATTCAGCATCTTACTATTGGCAACCCCGGGATGGAACGAATACACAGCCTTCTGATGACTAGCAGCGGAACTAAGTCACGTTGCCATAAGTAGATCAATACCAAAGAAGGTAAGACAGGCTTTTTGCATGGCTCACCAGCAATGTACGCGAGGCACTGCTGACCTCCCTGGCCCATCTTTACTCCACTCCTATCCACCGCTCCTCATTTTTCCACTGTTTATACGCTTGTATCATATTCTAACGCTTTTGTAGCAACTAGACTCGGACCATCCTTTTTTACCACTCGAAAACTTCACGTATATCTTTTCTCCGCCGATATGCTATTCATATCCAGGCACCCATACGGACAGGAGTCAAGAAAGACCCATAATCTTTCACAAAATACACAGCTTATTGACAAATTCAATCTACAAGTAACGAACAACAGCCCACAAAGACATTCTTGTCACTGCAGCTGAAATTAGGAAATTGGAATAGATTTCCTTGTCTACTACAAAGGGTGGCCAAGCGACGGGGACTGAAACCGAAGAACTAGATGCGAGAGATTAAAACCATTAGTTCCGCGCCCTGACACTGTTGATAATCATTGTTGGGTGGAGCGGGAACCGAGCTTACCTCCGGTTTTTCGTAACCAGACGGACAACGTGATAATTCCAAACCAAGGACGGTGATGAACTCAAGGAACCACCGTTCACTAACTGCATAGCATAAAGTTTGGGCGCACTACCAGCAGGGGTAGTCTGCTCCCCATTTGTCGGAAGCTTCAAGAAAAGGTCCGACAGTCATGCAGAGACCCATGGTCTACCCACATGTAGCTGGGACAAGAACTAAACGGGAGAAATCAACTGGCGTCACACCATTCAAACCATGTTACCACTACACCAATTTTCTTTCTACTGTAACCATCCAAGCCCCTTTCAGCCCTTTCGCTTGCCATAGGTTAGCTCCAGCAACCTAAGTTCTTCATATCCACGCACCCCTCCTCGCCCTAAGTGTAAGTAAATTACTCCATTAGTTCGCTTTTCTTTGCCTTCTACTCACTCACATTTGTTTTCCTAGGTCTTCTTTTTACTACCCCTAACTCTCTCCAACGATCAGTCCGAACAGCTGTCTGGTAACTCGACATCTGAAGAAGCCAACTGCACTACAGTCCAAGGCGGACGAACCAACACATAACCTCCTGTTCTGCATATCAGAGCTATAGCAGACAAGTATCTGGATCTACTGCATCGAAATCTGCCAAAGAATGGAACCGCTCCGTAGGACCAAGAAGCGAGCAAGAAGAAATCAACTGGTCTACACAAGCTCGTTAAACGGATATAAGATATTATTACAAGTTTGGTGTTTGAACCCAGGGCTCATTGTCTGGTTCAGTAAGCCACACATCCAGAGCCTAAAAGTAGAACAATACCTGAAATATGTACCAATTGACAATGACAGATATCGTACGAAAATTTTGGTTTATCACCACAAGACTTGAATTTTTTTCTTGTTGATCAGTTTAGGATATACAAATTAAAAGGTTGCGCGGCGTTATGAATTGATGGAATCTGGGGTAGTCCACCTTTATGCGGGGAAAGCCACAGCACCTTCCATAAATGACTTCATCCTAATAAAACCTATAAGCAAAGGAGCTTTCGGGTAATCTTAGTACTCGTTTTTATTTTTAAAACAGGAAGGTGTATTTAGGAGCCAAGGCTAACAACTTAGAATTCATATATGCCATAAAAATAATGTCTAAAGACGAAATGAAGAGAAAGAATCTCGCTGAAAAAGGTATATACTTACAAGCAAAAAGTTATTGTATAGTTACCTGTGAACGAAATGCCCTCGCTGTCAGCAAATGCCCTTATATTGTACATCTGTACTATTCTTTGCAGACTGCCAGTCACATTTATCTGGTAACGCATACATTATCTTTGATACAAAGTTTAGGTTATGGAGTATCTCATTGGTGGTGATTTGAAAGCACTTCTGTTAGTTTCGGGTTGCCTTCAGGAATCCCATGCTGCCATCTACACTGTTGAGGTCACGATTGCGTTAAATTATCTTCATAAGCATGGTATTATTCACCGAGATCTCAAACCGGACAACATACTCATTGATTCTCGAGGACACTTAAAGCTAACTGACTTCGGGTTGTCTACGTTAACGTGGAAACGTCGTAAGTTGTGTTATATTTGTTTCGTATTTCATACCTCTAGTTCTGATTATGCTTTTCTAGCTTTGAAGTGTGCCATTGTTCATCACCCTAAAACCCACCAAGCCAAATGTTCGCCATTGATTCAGGCATTTTGAAAGACGTAGGTTGTTTGAGTCTACTACACAGTTTTTGCGGAGGGTTAGCTATTTCGTTGACTGTGAACCGGCATTTTTCCTGATGTTTTCATGCCTTGTCTTCACCTTGGTAACTATCAGAATTGTTGACTTCATACTTCTTTTTCACCCTGTGGCTTTTTACGACAGTTAGTATTGGTTTATTCATCTTTTTTGACCACCTATGTAAGCTGATGTGGTATGGCATTGTAAACTAGCACTCAGTTATACCACGTCCCGTTTTGTTTATGTCCACTCTCTTTCTGTCTACGAGGGTGTACAATGAGCATTTATTAGCTTATAGCCTAATATAAGGGCGTTTTTATGGAAATCGAGATATATCCCGTTAGGCAATGGGAGAGCATGCATAGCTAACTAGGGGGCGGGAAGTGGGCTGAAGCTAATGTTCGGTTGGTTTTTGTCGCCGCTAATTCTAGCTGTTGCATGTGTCATTACCTGCTTTGCCCAAGACTCTACCTAGTGTCTACTAGCATAGTAGTTCTACGATACGTGGCTGCCGCTACAGTGACGGCGGCCAAACACGTGTATCTTTACCACGTTCACTGTGACTACGTTTCACAATCGTAGAATGTACCAGAGCCAACTACTGCTCAGTATTGTCGGCTCTAAGTTGAAAGTCTTAAAGTTCGTAGACAGGATGAGCGGCGTAAGTCAGTAAAAGCCAATGGAGCTTTCTGTGATCGTGCCGATATTTCATTAGCCACCAGTTTACCAGAATCGACTCAACCTCCAAAGCAATTGACGTAGTAAATGCTCTCAACTATTTCACTTGCTATTTTCTATCGAGCTTGTGATGCAAAGCAGTTCTAAAGCAATAATTTTGCGACTAGAAAACGTCCCAAGCATTCTCAAATTGTCCAGGAAACTCAAACAAAAATATATTTCCATGTCCTCTAAATCCACTTCAAAGTCTCCTGCTACGGTATCAACTTCAGTTAAGTCTTAAGAAAAGAGAGGTTTTCATAAAGTTATCTGTAATGTTTACTGAAAATCAATAGATGTTGTTAATGAACACCTTTAAGCATAAGGTCGACCTTAACCGCACTTGTTTGAGCGTATTTTCACTAGCAGTACTGTGTACTCACCGGGTATCGCTCTTACTTAGAGACTCCAACATTAAACTTACTGATCTAAGGGGGTTAGGAACTGCTTTTAGTTTAAAAAGTGCAGTTAGCGGTGGTGAATAGGTGCTTCAGGATCTCGTATAGTGAAAATTTTGTTAATGCACTCACGACCGGCTCTTTTACCTGCTTTGTGTTCTCGGGTTTGCCTTGTTTACGCCGTAGTCGTACCGGATAATTAGACAATGTCGGGCTGGTTCCTCTCTGGTTATCATACGAAGATTCCTGTTTTTTCTTGAAGACTAAGATAACCAACTATTAAGAGCCTATTTTTCCGGAATCCCATGGAAGAAACAAGAAGAGAAATGCATTCAGCAAGCACTTGCACGTTTGTGCAGTAGGCAATGAGCCACATCTATTGTGCGACGGCTAATGATACTGCCTAGCTGCCCAGACCTCGGTGGATGGAGTGGGGTTGAAAATTATAACTCATCGGTTCAAAGTCGAGTCCCCACACTAAAACATTATAGCTCCACCACACCACCCATCGCATCACGAAGTCCCACCAGTAATCGTACTCAAGTCAAATGCCTACTAAGAGCCTATTGTGATCCGCTTTCTCTCCGCACTTGAGGTTACTGGCAGCTTTCGTGACTTCTGTAAAAGTTGGAGGGCGCGTTTCAACTTCCCATTCACTATGCTGAGGGATAGCATGGAACTGGTAAATAGTTACAGGTTAGTTGATGTTGGTGGATGCCAAGTGAGACTGTTTATCCTTATGCTTAAAGTTACTGTTGAACAGAACTAAGTGACTCAGAACAAAATGGCAAAGTCGATCACTTTTGTCGGTTCGTTGGCGTGGGATACCGTGGATACCCCCATGGTGTCTTTCTGATACTCACTTTTCCTACTTGATTCTTTAAAGTCACTTGTTGTTATGACTTTATCTTAGTGGTTTGCTCTATGTAGCGAAATCGACAGCTTTTAATAGAACTTTTTATCGCCAGAACTGCTTTTGGTAGGCGCGTGGGATTAGATTATGAATAAGGATCAGTAAATATCACGAACCTTCCTAGTTCTTACAGATCCATCCCAGCGGACAGCACACTGATAGTCGTTGACTGGTAGCCAGTCTAAAAGTGAAGTTCCTGCCGGAATACTTAATTCTATGCGTGTACCAGTAAGTCCACTAAAACTAGCCACTGAATTGAATTTTGAAGATTTACAACATTGGTTAGATGAGGTCGATTGGATAACTACATATGGGTCTTGGGTACGTATCGCAGAAATAGTATACATCCGTGGCTCGAGGTTCCAGAGTTCGGGCAAGAGATACTTGTCGGATTTGGAATAGGGTTCGGGGTTGAAATCGACAGTGCGGTTTTAGGAGACTAGGAACAGTGTTTTGCTGACTTGAATCGTTGGAAACGGTGGCAGAATAAGGTAGAGGAAGCTGTAAGAGGCTTAATGTTGATGTTAAAAAGTAAAAGCGAGGAAGGGGAACAAGGTAAGAAGAGTAGGTTATGTTTAATTAGGATTTATGCACCACTGGAAAAGTTCGGGCGGTTGGTACTTCCTGGCTACCCGCACCATGGTAGTTGTGGTCTCACAGCTCATGAGACATTCACCTGAGATCTATCACACATCACTTTTTGGATTATAGATTTGAAATATAATTGTTGAAATGATGAGAAAGATTTGTAGCTCAAATGGAGAAGATGGCTGTTTTGTGTTTTAGAACGTTTCATCACCGAACTCGGTCACATCCTCAACACCAACTTCATAGAGAAGTAAATTATGTTCGAATGTTACACGCATTTTAGGTAATTTTTTGTTGACCTTGAGTGTTATCCATTTGTAAGTTAGAGAAAAGATTTTTACCACAACTTGACCTTGCTGAATTCACATTCCATTCGGTCACGCTGTCAGAGACTCCGCTGGAGTGAAATCGTGCTATATTTTTACTATCACACTATGCTTCAATGTTGATTTGTTTGGTCAATTTTCCCTTAGTTGATGGATGGCTGTTTTCTTCTTAAGTAGATTTTAGATCAGGTATGTATCCATATGTCTGTTGGTTAATTTTGTGTTGAGATGCTGTGCCTCCAGAAATTTTCCTACAGCTTTTGAACCTGCTCTTTAAATGATTTCCACATTATTCCAGTTGAGTTTATGACAGTGATTGTCTACGTTCTTTGAAAACAAGGAGGCTGAGTCATATCGTCTCACTGTTAGTTGATCTTCATGAATTTGAGCAACCCGACGGCTAGACTGGGCAACATGATTTTGTGAACAGCGTTTGCAATCAGTTTTGTAGATTATGGTTGTCCAGTCTTCTTTTGGTGACGTATCCCTTGGCTTGTACGACATGCTATCTAGTGATATATATAATATAATATAATGATATAATATAATAATATAATACTGCAAATCACATATGTTAAATCATTTAAATCGTAAATAAGCTCAGGAAAAGGCTTTCGTCGATGTCTATGGATTTACTGCCACTGAAGTCGAGATTCATATGCATTAGTTCATAGGTTTGCATTCTTAAGTGATTATTGGACACCTAATCATGTTCTGGTGTATGTCAAATATCTTGTATTACGGCACAGAAGACCAACTTGACTAGTACAAAATGGTAGTTTCGAGTATTGCAATATTTGTCAAACTAGCAGCTTTAACGGTGTATGGCAATTAAGAGAAACGTGTAAATGCACAGTAACTGCATTTATAAAACGATGCTGAATTAGTGCGTTAAGTCTACCGCTATTTCAGAAAACGTTCCATTCATGAATAATAGGTTTCTCTGAGTCCCCCAGCCGATAGCTACTACCTAGACGTGGTGATCGGACTTACATATCACAATGACCTGATGAGCTATGCTGGTGGAATGGTTGTTCCCTCGAGGTCCTACCGTGTCAGAAAGGTCTGTTAGATGCTGGTAAGATGTAAAGCGGTTGGGTTCTAGTGTAAATTGCTACACTAAGATGGGGGATCTGAGAGGAAAGTCATACAGCTGCTAGCTGGATGTATTGTGACAGCGACAAGGTATTTCACTTGGATGACTGGCAGTGCTATGCTGAAACTGCTCTCCCTATGAGAAGGAGGGTTGAAAAAGGTCGGCCCCTAAAATAGAATACTCCTCCTTGCCTCATGGTCTTCCGATGGTGGCGGTATGGGTTTGCTCTATCTGGGATTACAACAACCAAATCTCAAAGCAACGCCTTTCAAAAAGCCTGCGTGACAGATCTCAAGCAGATGTCCCATGGGCTATGAGGTCACACAAATCTTTTTCTCTTTCAGGTACCTTAAAAGTAGCCAGGAAGTGTAAACCCTCCGCACGCTTCCAGTAGTACACATGACCCAATCAAAACTAACCTATCTCCCTAGACTCTGTCTCCTCGTTTGCCTTCATCTTCTGATATTAAGTCTCTTACGCCTTCCTCAACTCATTCTGGAACCATTGCCAACGATCAATGCCATCGTGGCCTCATTTCTAGTCTCCTAAGACATCGCCATGGATATCATACGGAATCCATCAACGTCCGAACTCTAACAAATCGTATAGCAAATATCATTTGCCACAAGTCTGCAATATCTAGCTATGAATCCATGCTATGTTTGTAAGACACGTACATGGGACCCGAGCTTGATTATTGAATTGACCTCACCTGTCCATTATAGTGAATCTTTAGAATTCACCTTAAGAGCACCCGGAGACCCGATGGCTAGTTCTTATTGACTAGCCGGTATAGGCACTGTATCGCGTCGTAGGACAGAAAGTAAGATTCTCAACTGGATACCAGTAAACAGCCGTCTATGTGGTATTCAAGTGAATGGATCTGTAATGACTAAGAAAGATTATGAAACTAGGGTATGCCTATTCTTAGTCTCAACCTATACACCCACTGACTGCAGTTCGGAAAAGCTGTCAGTTTTGCTACAGCAAGCAAAGCGTTCAGATGTAATCATAATGGCAGGTGACTTTAATGTTCAAGTGGGGAAACTGGGCCAGTTGGAAACACATGAGAGGTGTTAACGGAATTTCGCGCCAACGAACCGAATAAGGTGATCGTCTCTTGAAATTTTGTTTCTGGCTAACACAAACTTTGGGCATGAAGGGAGAGACACTGTCTCACAAAGCCTCCGCCGACTTGAAGCCAGCGATAGACACAGATAGATCATATATCTATGAGCCATCGTTAAAAAGGATCGGTGGAGGACTACTGCTCTTTCTGAAGTTTCGAGTTGGAGTCCGATCACGTGCTGATACGAGCTCGTGTGTGTCTGCTCTTTACTGGTCGCAGGAAACAGGCTACAGTGGAGGCATGTCCATGGTAGATTGGAAGATGAGAATGTCAACTTCGAGTTTAGCAAACGTCTGTGGATTTCTGCAATGTTATCCACACTGATTGCTGTGAGAAGACTGATTCCAGCTGACTGTCTCTGACCACCATGAAAAGCGAAAGCAACTGAATCACAATTTGACAAAGTCTTCATTTCGACCACGAGCAGTGGTGGGTTACGAAGGGGAGAGAGATGGAGAAGGCATAAGCGGTGGGTAACAGTCGGCAACTGTTTAGGCTTATCAAGGATACTGGCAAGAAGGAAACTATGGTTAATGAAACCATCACCGAAAAAGACGGGACGCTGATAACCTCCCAGGACAGGTGGCTTGGACGTTTCGTGGAACGCATTGAAACACAGTTCAACGCCTCAGTTGCCCAATATCCTAATAGGATGCAGGTGCTTGTCTTCTAACTGTCCTTGAGGTTGAAAAGGCTTCATGGAACCTGAAACGATGCGAAGCACTAAGACTCGATAGTTTTTCACCTGAAGGTATCAAGGGCGGAGGTGGGCGGTTGCTGCTTGAAGTGACGAAAGTACTAGGTATGGGAGAAGTAGTGCCATCAGACTGGCGTACTTCACTGATCATCCAAGTCTGTTAGAAGGGAGAGAAATCATTTTGTGACAGCCATACGAGGAGGATTAGTTTAACAAATGTGTCCAAGATCTTGGGTTCCATAGTTATCCGACGCCTAACTCGAGATAAAGAACAGAAAACCGGACAGGTATCAGACCTGGACGACGGTGCGTCGATCATATTTCCACCCTCCGACAGTTTCTAGAACCCAGATGTACCCACCGGCAACCGACAGTTGTTATAATTATCGACCTAAAGGCGGCATCTGACTGCCGATCTTGGTGTTGTGGCAGTATTTAACTGTGGAGTATCGAGCAAGCACGTAACACTAATCAAAGGTCTTCACTCGAACTTATACACAGATGTGAGGGCTTATAGAGAGTTGTCAAGTGAGTCGACAACAACTAGTGGTATCCGGTAGGGATGTCCGCTGTTACCATCCCTACTTAACTTCATCATAGACCTATTAATGGACTTAACCCTAGATACGTCTGACTTCACAGGGATTGAACTATTGTGAGAAATGGCTGTTAAAAGTAGGAGACGCGAAGCGATTACAGGGTTTTGATCACATATGTCTTCGTAACATTGTTTGTGTTTAGTTGAATCCCTGTGCGAGCAATGTTGAGGTCAAGCGAAGAATACTAGACAAGATAGGCAAGTCGATTGTTGGGTGTATGACCCTTTATCGACCGAGATGGTTTAAACATGTACTGCGCATGCCCAGCCACCGCCTACATCGACGTACCATTCTATGAGAAGTTCAACTGGGTTGGAAGAGGGTTCAGAGTGGCCTGGCCAAGACGTGACACTGGTCGACGAAGTTCCTGACTGTTGGTCTAAGTAGTGTTGACAGATGTACGCTGCCTGTTTGAGGTCTCCGAGACGGTAGGAATCAGTGATTGAGAACTCATGGTGACGGGGCTGAAAATCGGTCACAATGGCGCAGATTTATTCACTCATTGACATAAATATTCACACTAACCTTTATTTTTAGATTATTATAGGAGTAAAATTTGTGCACTGTGGTAGAATGTTATTCCGTTTTTATTGATTTATTAGATTTATCACACAGTGTAACAGTATTGTTTACTGGATTACGTTTCGGACATAATTTATTGTCGATGGTCATATCAAGAGATATTCTTTATATAGTCCTAATTTCCTCCCCCCCCCCGCCCCCTTGTGATATGGATGGTAAGATATGAATATATGGAAAGTCTTACTATCCATGTCACAAAGGAGGGAGGGAGGGGGGAGAAAATTAGGGCTATATAAAGAATATCTCAAAGTTGTGTAGTTATCTTGATATGACTGACAATTAATTATGTCCGAAACGTAATCCAGTAAACTTTACTGTTACATTGTGTGATAGATCTAATAAATCAAGAAAATGGAATTGTTTTTAGATTGTTTATTTTCTCACACAACTTTGTCTACTTTGATATTCATTTCTACTATCCACTCGTTCTTTGTTTACTGCTGTGAATTGTTCCAACTTGAACCGATGCACCTGTGTGTGAGGTTCTACGGTGATTTTGTCAGCCAGTTCTCTAACTCCCTTATAGCATTTATTCATTTTCTTAATTCGTGTAGGCGACGAAGTTGCATAAACTCAACTAATGGAAGAAATAATACAGGAATCTAATAACTCTAGTAAGTTTTCTGCGAAATAATCGCATTTCCCATCACTGAAATCAAGAGCGATTTCGACTCTTTCGAAGTACTGACTGCCACTAATCAGACATCAGTAAAGCAGTCTGAAATAGATAACATATTGATTAATAACCTCTATGATGCTCTGATTAATTGGTTGTTAACTTCCAGGTACAATAGTATCTGAGGCACCGCACAGTTGGTAAATGACTGTGAACGGTTCTAGCAAGACGTAGCGAAAAAATATCCGTTCGTACTTGTTGGTTTCTCATTTTTTCAGGAGTCTAAGTATTGTCATCTATGCTACCTTGGTTGTTTTCATGTACCTGTAGAGATTAATATGGCTAAGAACATGATCTTTACCACATATGTTCGCACCTCTCAATTGACTCTTTTTCCACTTGTATCTATACTTCTAACAGATATGCCGTTGAACAAATGTATTAAGATCAAGTTATCTACCAATGAATGCATTCGTAGCAATTGATGAAAATACCTGATTTGCTTGCCAAACTGGTTAAAGTAGTTGCTGTCTGCAGAAAAATGTTAGCTGTGTTAGATACAATAGGTGTTCGCATACAGATGCTGGAATGATAATCCAGTTGTCACTTCTTAAATTTTTATGGATACACTGTAATAGTATCAGCATAGTTAGCAAACGTTTGTGGATTTTTAAAGCTTCTTCTGATGCGATTACTATCTACTGAATCATTAAATCTTGTTCATCTCTCTTGCTTAACCTTCTAAATGTTTTGTTTTTCTAGCTCTGCAACCGAGTGATGTTTTAAACACACCTTCTGTGGATTCATTACCAGTGCATTACTATCGTACTCCTGGTCAACTTATTTCACTAACAACCGAACTGGCTTTCGTAAGTGTCTAGGGTTGCATTACTTTTTGGTTGGAATAGTTTACATCAATTTATGGAGGTAGAAATCTCAAAACTTTATGCTCTAATAAGCTTGTTATCTGTGAGGTGAAATTGTGAAAGATTTCAAAAATACTAAAAAGGTGTATTTAGATCATCATCCTTCCTCTTGTTGATTGTTACCTCTAGGGCTAATCAACACTTTTATCTGTTCAGTATGTCGAATTTATGTTATTATTTGTTCAAGTGGACACTGTATTGCATATATGTTTTCGTCAACTATAGTAATTGTAATTTTATAAGATTATGAGCGATTGACATTTAGTGTTACTGTTGTTTGAGACATATCTTTCCGTTGTTATATTGCGTCGAATTGCTCGACCTCTGTTGGTAGATGGGCTCCTGTGTGGATGCTTCGATACTGCCGGATATTCACGATGTTTTATTCATCTCGGTTACTTGCAGTGGAATTCAGGATGCACGTTTCGTCCTACTTGGAACTCATCAGTTGGATGTACCTACACCCCAGTGAGTGATGTCCCCACTGAGACTCGAATCCGGTACCCATCACTTGAAACGTAAAGGCGTTTTCCACTGAGATACGAAACCCACCGCTTTTGTAACGGGTATCAGTTGTTGCTTTTTGGTACTTGTAATCCTCCGTTGCTACAATAGATTGAAGTACTCTATCTCAGACTGTATAGAAACGGGAAATTACAAGTTTCAAACAACAACTGATAACTTTTGCACAATTCGTGATTGTCGTTTCCCATTGACGTTGTAGGTAACGCTTTTCCATTTGAAGCAGTGGATACTGGGTTCGAGTCTCAGTGAGAACAACACTCACTGGGGTGGAGGTACATCCAACTGACGATTCAGAGACAGGACTAAACGCACCTCTTGGATTCCATTACTAATCGCTTTAGTTTATAGGAAATAGCTGAAGCTTGTACTTGTATTTACTTTGACGGTACTTGACTACCATTCCGATATTTGACTACTCATGGAGTACCTACGTGTAAATAAGGGAAACTGCTAATCCAAATAGTCTAGTTTGCTAGTAAATATAGTTTAATTTGTATAACACTGACTGAAAACTGTGGATGCGAATAATTCGTCGGTGGCAATAACACAGAGCTAATAAACGCTATTAGTAAGTAGCAAACACGTCGCTTCCTATAGATACTTAAATTCTAGTTAAAAATTTGGCGTAAAGCATTAAATAATTTGTTGAAACAAAAATTGTTGACAAAATATACCCACTTATTCATAAAAAAGAGTAAGATCTTTATCACCGAAGAAATATTTCTTTCCAACGACTTCATTATTAAGCTATACAGTCGTATTCGTAATCGGTAAAATGTCACATAAATGCACTAAAAAGTTGCTCAGTCAATATAAACGTTATACTATTGTTGGTGGTGTTGCGAAACACTACCCTGTATGCTTTGCCAGAGACGAGCGAAGAAAAGCAACTTCATCTGTATTTTTACACCCAATGGAGTTAGGTCATTCAGCCCTCGAGATTAAGGTGATTTACAAAGTTAAATTGAACTGCTCCGAATGTCTATGTTTCCACCACTCATGCATAGATGAAACACTATGATACTTCTAGGGGATGCAAGAAAGTATCTCAGCTTTTCTGTATGAATACTTTCATCCCTGTGGTACACTTTGCTTGTGTTGGAATGAAAATAATGTTAAAGCCACTTGAAGTTGTGGCTCATTAGTTTAGCGAGATGACTTTCAGCTATCATTAACGTTTATCTTCTCACACACTACTTCATCTTATTTGATATCACTCCTTTCTATCCACCTATTCTTTGTGTACTAGTGTAAAGTGTGACGACTTGAGGCGATGAACTTGTATACGAGGTTCTACGTTGTTTTTGTCAGTCAGTATCATTGGCCCTCACACAATAGTTATGACTCATTGCCTACTCCAACGCACAATACTATTTTCAATAAATATTTTCATTCTTCGTTGATTATTTGTTGTTTCTCTAATATATTATAGACGGGAACACCTAGCATTAACAAAACTCCAGAAACTAAACAAAGATGCATGTCACCTTTACAGAATGAAGAACAGAAAGCTTTTCCGTCTTCTCCAAACTGTTTAGCTTTAAAAAAGGTAATAATTTTACATACCTTAATGATGTATCATATACATCTTTTTTTCATTCTATATGTTTGATTATAAGTTTTGTAATCCAAGTGCTTAATTAGTAATTTTCTATCTACCTGTTCTTTGTATACTACTGTGAAGCGTCGCAACGTGAACCGATATATTTGAGTGTGAAGTTCTACATTGATTCTGTCACTCACTCAGTCAGATCATCTTCGTAAAACTTGTACAAAGATGCATTTAAATTTAGCAAAATAGCTTCATGAAGTATTACTTTTAAAGTCTTTGGATGAATTGATGTACACTAAGACATTGTGTAAATTCTCAGCTTGAATTCAACTAGGTACATCTCATATAGGCATTATCATCATTGAGTTGTTATTCTTTTTTCAACTTGCTTGAAGTTGCAATAGCTCTACTCATTGTGACGTGTGATTAAGACTTGTACAATTCTGAAGAACTAAGTACAAACAAATAAATGAGTAAATATATATTTGAATTGAAATGACATTGATCAGTAAAGAGGACTCTTTGTCGTTACTTCTCATGTTATAAAATAGAATTGTTTGTCGATCTGGATTCTGTTTTCGATAAGCCTACTAGTAAGCTTACGTAAGCACGTTTTAAGTGTCCTCCTGGTTACGGTCTATGTAATTAGCTCCACAGTAGCAGGTAAATTTATATACGCACATGGATGTTGTTGACATTTTGACGAACTAGATCTTACTTGTAGGAAGTAAGACGCAAGAATGTTTTTCGAAGTGCTTTCGATAAATGAACTTGTAGAATTTGACTCATTCTGCTGTCCTTGAATTCCAGATTCATACAAAAGTATTTTCTAGGCGCCTTGTGTGTGGAACATCAGTCTTATTCTTTATACACGTATCAATTAATGAGGTGTTGGGTATGCATTCTGAATTAGATTTTCTGAAGAATCCCAGTTCTTTATCCATTGTATCTTCTATGCCTATGGGATAAATTATTTTATCAAGACAGGTAATGAAATTCTTTTCTTTCTCATTTTCAATTGACTGTTCCATTTGGGTTTATCGTAGGTCGATCTTCTACCGATCACTTCTCCGTGACAATTAAACATATAAAAATGCAATTTTACATTCTGACTAGATATCATGCATAAGACTAATAGATGGATGAGCATAATTGAAAATCTTCAGAATTTTGTTGAATTCAGTTGTTTCGTCGCCAACAACGAAGATATCATCCATGGATCATCGCCTGCACACTTCGAACTGACAACTCAGTTGATTTTGACGCATTCGACCGTAACTTATCTTTGAAACAATCAGCAAATAGAGGGATTAAGAAGGAACCCCATTTCTACTGCATCTTTCTGTTGATATTATCTCTCCATTGAATAAAAACTGGACAATCAACGCACTACTTAGGACTAGCTGCTGAATGTATTCCTAGTAGGCATACCAACATTCAAATCTTTGGAATAAGTAAACTTTCACAAAAAGCACACCGTTTCCATCGGAGAAATATTGCCAAATAAAGAGACAACATCTAGTGAAGCCATCACCTTGTTAAATACGTTTAGCTCCGCTAATGTACAGACAAATCCCAAGGTATCTTTTAAGGAGTGTTCTGCTACTGTTCTAGTTGGTTACCGAATTTCTATCATAAACCATGTCATGAAATGAGATCCCAGACATATCTAGAATTTGACGTATAGATAACCCCTCCTTGTGAATCGTTGTTGGACCATACAATCGTGGAATTATTGATCCAGAAGGTAAAACTCATAAAGTTTCAGCACTGATTGCTGAACGGTGCTTCATTTCGGATAAAATCTTTGTTAACTACCCGGTATTGTCTTCCTTTGTGAAGTTGTCATCATTATGACTTCTCAACATTCTTTCTATGTAGTCTTAGGTGTTTAATATATTTTTATCAAACAGATAAATGTAGAACCCTACACGAAGTGTGCCATCTTAAGTTGCTAAAATTCATAAAAATGTACAACAAAGTAAACTTCAATAGAATCATATGGAAGGAAAAACAAAGAACCAATATAATAAAGTTGAGCAAAGGTTCAAGTTATTGAAAATGATTAAGAGTGAGTAAAATTTGCTTTTTAAACATTTTCCAACTGTTATGTGGTACACTTACGATTTACATACTAAGCCAAAAGTCTAATTCAATTTTTTCCCCTTGGTAATTTCATAACATTTCTGTAAAATCTTATTGACATAGTCTGTGTCGAACATTCTGCTTTTCACCTGTCATTCATAAACAATGTTTTCTTTTTTGTTGTTGGTAGTATTCAAGTATGGATTTCAGTGATTCGAATTCCCTGTGCGAATTCCCCTCGAATCCTTCATTCAAGGGGCCTACATTTTCGAAGAGAAAGTCAAATAATCTACTTGAACCACATCATGGTCCTTCACAGCGATCTAAAAGTTCTAATATTCTTGGGAGTAACTCTTGTGATTCACCCATTCATCACCGCCTAGTTCATTGGTCACCAGTTGTAGGATCAACAAGAAACAGAGACATTCGTCAAGTTACTAAGACTGTACAAACTCGTTCCGAGGGGCTACAAGTAAGTCGTTAATGCTTTATGTTTCAGTTTGATGGTTTACTTTCAACCGACTTAAACATTTTATAACCCATATTGGCATTTAACATAACTTTGCACCCTCTAAGTTGTTTGATTTAACTGTGACGCATTAACTAGCTTTTTCATCAGTATTTTTTGTTTTAACTACTTTTAAATGCAGACGATCAGGAGTATGTGGAAGTACATCCATATATACTCACTAATTTTCGAAACAAATCATGCAACTCCGCGCAGTAATTTTTCAGTGCAAGGTAATACACTCTTCAAAAGCAGATGATCTAAAAAAATTGATAAAATAAGATAAATACTCAACTTATACAAAAATGAGAAACAGCGAAAAGTAAATATGAGCTCTGAAATGTTCAAGGTTTAGAAGAATTCCTTTGACCCCTTTGTTTTCAGTTTTATCCTCCCCAACCGGAAAGTCATCGAATTTATGAATAATAACCGTATACTGATCTACCTACCATCGAGCATTCCCTAACTTGCACTGAATTGAAATGCACTCAGTCACCTTATGTGCATTCGTGTAGTAGGCATTGAGCCACACTTATTGTGTGAGGGCTAATGATACTACCTAACTGCCCAGACCTCAGGTGGAGTGATGTTCGAATCCGTGATCCATTAGTTGAAAGTCATCTCCATTAGCTAATGATCCACAGCTCCTCAAAACTCTACAAATCATCTCAATATCTCTAATTCACAGAAGACGATTGTAGTGAGGAAAAGTCTTTCTTTTCGATGGAATCATTCTTTTAACTGTGCATTAGTGAATATGTAGTTAAAAGGATAGATTATTCCAGAGTAATTTCTGCTCAAAAGTCAATGTAAATTGCGTTAAAAAGAAAAAGCTACGTGATGCGCAAATAAACAAAATGATTACGAAGTAAAAGTAGTTGCATCATTTCTGGGTTATCTAGAGTGATCAGTAATCTACGATGGCCATGGCAAAGAGAGAGGTTGTACATACTTCTTTTGGATGCATAATGATGGTTTGAACTTTTGAATGCTTCAGCTTATGTCCAGATGTTTTAACCTCACTGCTTTTGAGTGCCTTGGTTGCACTTTGTACGGAAGTTTGAAGGACTTATCAAAAGGAGCCAAATGTACTGAATTTATATACGTTCTGTTACAGAGCCGAGAATGCATTTCCTCCGCCACCCCACCCTTGTCAGCCAAGTTAGACAGTGTTCGCGAGCGCGTTGCATAAACTGGCACATGTTTTATCCTTTTTACTATATATATTCACGAACGTACAACTAAGAAAGTGATTTCGTTGGAAAGAAAACGTTTTCCTCGCTGCAATCGATCTCTGATTCAGTAGTTTCACCAAATGCAACCATCGTTTAGCAGATAATGGTTGAATGTTCGTAGTTGTCTTGTTTTCTTTTCCTTCAAAGACGACGTTTTGTGATTCTAGTTTAGTGTGTATTCAAAGCGTAAAGCTGCTTTCCGGTTTTCCCACTTTTAGTCACTCTTCATCTTGTGCATACAAAACAAAAGTTTTGCAGATAACAGTTCATCAGGCATAAGCAAGGTAAGGTACTGATGACCATACACAAGAGTTTAAAAGATCATTCCCCTTACAAATTATTTTTTTCCATCTAACCGAACTATAACCAACCGCGTATAAATCTGCTCGAATAATTATATCGATTTTATGCCTGATTAAAATTAGGCGACAATAAGACTGGTTTGATACTTTAGTTTCGGAGACCCTAAATTTATTTAATTGTACCGTTTTCGCAACCGTTCCACCCCATGGCAATTAGTTCATTCCTCCCCTTTTTCTCAAGGTAATTCGCTAATTGGTTGACTCATCTCTTTACTGTATTAATGTTCTGAATTCTGAACAAGGTCACACATCATGTACATATACACACGTGTTTCAGTTTATTTTCAGTCGTTTCGCTGGCAGTAAACTCTCACGTCCAAACCAGTTTTTTTAACTTTCATCTGGGTATGGAGTCGGTGATATCTGGTGTATTAGTTTGCTGTCAGAAGCGTTTATATTATATGATACCCGGGAACAACTTGTTCTACCATTTATTGATCGTCAAAGTTAAGAAAAAAGTCTGCAGTTCCGTGGTTCATCGACTTAGGGACTTGGTTTTCAATCAATGGATCCCGGGCTCAAAAGTCGTTCCCATGAGCAATTGGATCGTATCATAAGCCTTCTTCATACTACGAGTGGGCTTATAGTCCATTAAAAAAATATGCACCTGACTGAGTGACATTTTTAATTAGTGCTATGACAATAACCGTTGCAGTCTGATAGTTGCTTTGGTCGATAGTTTTTGAATTCTAAGTTTCTTTACTGATGTTGTCTGCGGATATTGGTAAAATATATGAGTGTCTCTTGTTATCCCTAGTACTAAAATTAATCATCACTCAGTCTCGCTCATTGACTGGCCTAAAATAAATTTTACTGCAAGGTAGATATTGGATTGGATTTCAACTTTCTGATTCTACTGATATGCTTTTTTATGTAGTATCGTGTAGCTGTGATGTAGTACTTTTGTACTCAGTTACGGTGATATCAAACTGTAACCTTGTATGGTTTTTATATAGTTTGCGTAAAACACACAACTACCATGTTGAGAATGCATTTTGTGCTACCTTATTACCCAACTTATAATTGACACAGCGTTATTGTGCTCTGTAATCTTAATAATGCTATAACCTTTAAAACAAGTTTTATTTATCTATCATATGTTGAACAGATTTGCAATTCATAACGTTTGTTTATGACAGGTATCTACCTCCTGCTGGGTTAGTTCACTCACACCTGGATATGAGTCACACGATAATCGACTAATTGATGGGCCTTCATCTTCGACTACAGATCTTATATCTGGCGGACCAAGTTTGACAAGTATCAGTTCACAGTTTTCAGCAAGTCTTGAACCATCCCATCATGAATATAAATGTCAAAATTCTGAAGTTATACTCGAAGAATCAGTTGTTGATGAGTCTGGTAAAACAGGTTCAAATCAAAGAGTTGCTTCCTTAAGTTGGGATATGCATCAGTTAGTTTTAAACGCAAGTTCAGCGTGTGATACGCTTCCGTATCCTTTTATCGATGAAAATGACCCAAAGTGAGTTCTTGTTTAATTTTTGCTCGGTTGTTTGAGTGTATTATGGGAGTAAACAAACTGTATCTTCAATCTTTTCTTCAGAGCACAAGCTTCTTCTATGGGACTTAATGCTGCTGAGTTTGTCGTCAGTTATTTCAATAAGTCTAGAAACATACTTCAATGTCTTACCAGCATTGGTTTAGATATCAGCTGCTGAATAGTAAACAAGTTAACATGTAGGTGTTGCGAATCCTTCTGTCGAAGGCCTACTCGAACTACATGTAAAGCGGATCGGTCGAATTGAAACCAATTGTGTTAGGGCTAATGATACTACCTGGCTGCTCAAACCTCTGCAAGTCCACTAGTGCTTGAATCTGTAACTCACTGGTTGTTAGTCATCTCCCTAAAACAATGAGTGCATGATTCTGCGAGTCATTACATCATTTGTTCCCACTGCGCAATTATCCGTACTGTTGCAGAGTGGTCGTGAGTGCAAAGTAAACGTTGAAGGGTTTTGAGACTATTTTATCAGTTTCCTGTTTTTCGAGTGTATCCCAGCCAGTCAGTTAGTCATTTTAATGGGACCCGCAGTTACTACACAAAAATTCAAGTCGCTAAATCCTGTATCCAATTACAACACATCAGTATGAAAAATAGTGACCAAAATTAGTAAAAAGTCAAAGAGAGAAGAAGAAGAAGCAACATAATAACTAAGTTCAATACAGTGATTTAAGATAATGGTAATGAGTGGAATCATCGAATGTAGTGAGATCGATTGTAAGCCATATCGCCTACAGTCTCCATTCTCTGATTTCGGCTGTCATGCGGACCTTAACCTACATTTCCTAACACGCCTCAGATCAGCAGTCAAAAACTTCATGTACTGATGTCATGTTTTAGTCTGGTCTCTTTTCACCTTTCTCCAGCATAAGTCTACTTCAGTTAACACTGCACGATAGAATGAATGGTGACTAGGTAAGCGTGTAACTTATGTTCTGGACAGTCATCTGAGTTGATGAAATTGATAGTCGCACCAATTGACTTATCTATTCTACCTGGAACTCTACTCTACCTCGTCGTTAATGATGTTGTGATTTCACGACATGACTTGTGATATGAAAGCAACGGTGATCAAACACTTGAAGTCTTTTTTTAATATCCCTTACTTTCAGTGGCCGTGTTTCTCGCTTATGCAGTAGAAGAGCGTGGACTGTTACTCACGATAATTGGGTCTTAGCAAGAAACTGGATATCATGCCAGCACCGTAAGTGGTGTAATTTGGCGGGAGTCAAGTGAAGCTTTCGTATCCATCCGTGCAGAGATTTAAATCTTCGCATACTACCTGTTAGTGTTTATAAGCCTTCATAGTACTAATTAGTTTTTGGGAATTAGAGGTAGTCCCGTCAAACTGGTTTACTTCAGTGTTGAAGAGGGGAGAAAAGTCTTATTGTTGCAATGAAGTTAACAAATACCGTATCCAAGATCTGTAGTTATTTGACGCCTAACTAGGGCTCGAGAAATCAAGGGAGGTTTCAAACCTGGATGAGGAATCATCGATGAGATTTCCATCATTCGTCAGGTTCTTATACTCGGCATACTTACTGGCGGCTGACACACATTTGTTGACCTGAAGACAGCATGTGACTCTGTCGACCGTGAAGTGTTGTGGTAGTGTCCGACTGTAAAGAAAGTACCGAAAAAGTAAGTGACCCTTATCAATACTCTCTACTAAAACTCACGCAGCTGTATAAGGGCTTATGGAGAGTTATCTTCAGAATTGAGGACAATTAGTGATGTCCTCCAGGGATACCCACTTTCATTGTTCCTGATTAGTTTCGTTATAAATGTGCTAATGGATATAACGTCAGATACATCTAACTTCATACGAAGGAATCTACTCCCTGGAGGTCATCTGGCTGATTTGGAGTATGCAGACGACATTGTCGTGTTAAGCGAAGACGTGTCGAAATAAGGTGTAGACATCTAGTTGTGATTCACCTTTTTCCTAGTATAATTACGTTGAACAGGTTTGACCTCGTCTTCAATAAGTCACAACTCTAATGTTAGTGTAAATAAACCGTGAGTAACCACTACAGACTGACCTGGTTTAATTTAGTAATATTAGATGGTATGAAAGGCGTTTCGCGTATCTCAGTATGAAGATCATCCGTCTATTTGATAATTTTTCCTAACAAATATGCTTGATTCATGTACTCAAGTATTAGTCTGTCTACACATTTATCACACAATAAGAGCGTATATTGGTTTGCGCCTGTCGCTTTAACTACTGAAGGACAGACACACAAAGGCAAAGTAGAACCTCAAACTCAAATACATCGATTCAAGTTGCCACACTTCACAGTAGTATACAAAGAACAGGTGCATAGAAAAAGAGTGATATCAAAGTAGATAAAGTAGTATGAGAGAATAAACAATCTAAAGATAACAGTTAGTATGCATATTCAAGCTTTAACTATTGGCTTCTGTATTTCTACTTGTAACGTGTACTATCCGCTATGATGCTTTTCTAAATCCTTCTGGCTAACATATGTGTTCCTGGGCCAATAGTCCACATATCACGAATATAACACCGAATCTCAGTTGTTATACATCTGTTTGGAACAAATAGTCATGTAACAGTTAGAGGATTTTTGCATAATAACAGATCACATTAAAGTATTTTACATTCTTTTTTCGAACCGCAAAGATCATGCAGATCCCAAAACGTAAATACATTAGTACTTTACACATTCTAGATAGCACTTTTATTTAGAGGCAAGAATAAAAGCAAGTGTAAAATTGGAAAAAACATACTATAATGCATTTTCAGCCAAGCTCAGTCAATAATTAGTAAGTCTGCATGATGAATTGCAAAATGAAAATTTGGACTGCGACCGGATTCGTACCAGTGACCACCGGGTTTCCAGTCCGATGCTCTACTAACTGATACAACTTCTCTTAGCACTGCAGGTCGACGCATCACCCAGTATAGATACTAGTCTAGTCCACCAAACCACGGTTATCTTAGATAGTCAAAATAATAAAATAATGAATCGCATTTAATAAATATGTTCATAGATTTGCACAACGTGTCAACCTAAACACAAATCTTGTTTTTCAAAAATAATCCTCAATCGGTTTTATTTGCTAGTTTTATCATATTATAAGAAAATATTCCCGATACATGATTGAAAGACAAAGACTGGATAATGGGGATTTGGTTACCCTTCGGCAACCAATCAGGTACCTAATCCAGCCATACAGGAGGTCAGTCGCATCCTGAATAGCTCTGGTTGCAAAACTGGGTGGTGTGTATTCGAATTTCAGAGAGGAAATCACTTTTATCGAGGCTACAGGTACTCACTTAGGTCGACCAGAGCTTCCTGTCAGATTGTCTCTGTCCAACTAAAATCTGTCTCAGTACATCGAGATGGTGTGTCTCCCAGCCTGCTGATCACATTACAAAATGGTCGATCGAATTCGATCAGCACATCAGACTATACGACGTGGTTGTTTATCCTCCAGTAGTGACCAATCAAGGTACATTCTTATTCATTTACAACTTCCCTTATCAATTCATTTATTTTTTTCACCATGTTTATGTGGTTTATGCCGTAAGCTTTTAAAAATAACTGTGACTGTCAGTATTGCGAATGCGTATATAGTTACACTTAATTGTCGGTTATTGTTTGTTGCATACAGATTTGATACTAGGTTATAATTGAAGGTGAAATGAAGTTTAGGCCGCAGCCGGATTTGAACCAGCGGCCAAAACCTTTTCGGCCCGATACTCTACCAACTGAGCTAGGAGGTCCGACCGCTGACCAGATTTATATATCACTCCAATCACTAAACCACGGCTATCTCAGATAGTGAAAATGATAATCAATGTGGTGCCCCACCTCTCTAATTCAACTAGATTTGGATTGGGATGGGAAGTTCTGACTAGGCGGCCAGTGTAAATACGATCAAGTTACAGTAATGCTTTACGAATTCACATGATAGTCGGGCAAAACCCTTAGTGATTGAAGTGAAATAAAAATCCGGTCAGTAGTTGGACCCCTTAGCTCAGTTGGTAGAGCATCGGACCGGAAACCAGGTGGTTGCTGGTTCGAATCTGGCTACGGTCCAAATTTTCATTTCGCCTTCATTCACCATCCAGCCTACAGATTTATCCTGATTTCGCTTTTCAACAGCATTTATGCTTAAGAGACTAGTTCATTTTCTTTGCGCAATAGTTCCATCACATTTTTCCTCATCATTGTCAATGCGGCCTGCTTAAACTTTGGGCTACTGGAAATTTTCCACCGAAATTATTTCATCAAATTCATCTTTTTCAATTTGTTTTAGTCTTTTATATGTTTCTTTTAAACTCGTAAAGTACTCTTGCACACTTTTAAAATGGTTTCAAGCTGCCGTTTTCTAAGCTAATAACGAAACAAAGAATGAAAGACATACCGGTAAGAGATAGGTTTATAAATGCCCAATGTCGAATTGCAGATTTTGGTTCTGGATGAATAAACTACCACTACCGAAATTACGCTCGATTTTGTATTCATTCATAAGCCCAAACCAGATGTTAGTGTAATACCAAGAGTCTGTTTTATATTGGGACTTTCATTACTGTTATTATTGACATTGTTCAAATGCAATAATTTTTTCGCCTTAAGATATTGTACAGGGAGTGAATTTGTTGAAGTGTGAACCCGCTGAGAATTCTATACTGTACCACAATTCTTGTTTGGAACAAAAGTTATTATTTATTGTGAATTCGATGAAGATTTATTGTAAAATTTTTCTTATCCTTTAGAGCACTTGAGAATTACTCTGGTTCAATAAAGTTTCATGATTGTCCTGCTTCTGTTTCGGCCTTAACTAAGCAACATTTGTTTGTAAAAGATAAATTGTCACCAGTTGAAAAAGCTAGATTTGGTCGACTGAATCATTCACCAGCGTATCACCATCCTTTACATTTGAGTGGTATGTTTCTTTTCTTGTTCATTCATTTCACTGTTCACTTCATGATATTTTTGTTTACCTGAGAGTATTATCGTCAAAAACTTCTATGAAATGTTAAAATCACGTAGTAATACTGGTCCAGTCATCAGTTATCTTGTTCTACGTTTATTCTCCGTCGTCAGCTTCCCAAGTAATGCATGAACTTTTTGAATCTGAACAATTTACTACTCATATCATACAATATAAGGAGTTTCAAGGCTTGTGTCTTGTGGAATATTGCTGTTTTAAAGATCATTATGGTAACACAGTTATTTAAATGGCGTTTGTATTACTTCTAATGTACAGACGATATCACCTGTGGTAATCGTAGAAAGTGTTAGTTCACGGTTATGGATTGATTCATATATATATATATATATATATATATATATATATATATATATATATATATATATATATATATAATATATATATATACATATATATATATATACATATATATATATATATATATATATATATATATATATATATATATATATATATACAAAATGTAAGGAAGTGTTTGCACGATTTATGCAGTTTGAAATGAAGCTGTTAAAAAGTGGTATTCAGCTGTAAGCTTCACCTTGGTTCCTTTTGGAAACCGAAAATATTTTAGTTTTCCCAAATCAGAAATGATGTTAAGAATATGAGCACATGATAAATGCGCTAATGATTATGTGATTAATAGAAGTTGTGGCTCATTGATTTAGCCACTTGATTTTTAACCAAACGGGTCGTACGTTTGAATCCGTCCACCTACTAAGGATTGGGCAGCCAGGCTCATTCAATATATCTAACTGATGGCTTTTGCGCGAATGTACACAAAATTGGTCAGTGGATTCCGATTTTTTCAGTCAGTAGGAAATCAATCATAGCAGAAGCAACACTCACATTCTTCATCCATAGATTACCAGTAACACAACTATTAAGGCCTTGGTTTTCTGAAACTTGATTTATTTATCAAGTAACCTCTATCAAATTAATCACTAGTCATGATTACTTTCATACTTCAGGTATTCATTTACAGAACTATGTACATTTTATTTCTTAGCCCGTTAGTCTGCAATTTTTCTTTGAAAATCTTTTAGGCATAGATCACGTTCACTGCTTAATCATGGTTATCTACTCAGTAACTCTATAAAAAAAATTTACTTGTATGTTACAAAGTCAGATAACGACAAAGGAAAACTACATGAAAACGTTAAGTATATCCTGTCTTGTGAATTCACAACCAAGACTATAAAATACACCTGATACGATGAACCAAGATTATTAGCACAAAGATGGTTATTTCGGTAATTTTTATATTTGAACAAAAACATTTGGCATAGTTGTGTACGAGTGTAAGTTGCTACACTCAAAATGAACACATTCAACGGATATTGTCAAGTTGAAATGTGAAGGATTAAAAGTGGTAGTAAGAAGTATTGACTTAGCTAAAAAAGAATCACCCAGGTATGATCAGAATTTAAGGAGGTAGAATAATCATCTTACCAAACTTTACACATCATTGTATCACCTGCATGTAGACAAAGACTTGAAATATGTAACACATTGCAGTTACCTGTATTCAAGAATGTTATCCAATTCATCAAATAACTTTTCCATGTCTCTATGCCTAATCGTGTTATTGTTCATATGTTGATCCCGTTCTGCATGCAAACTGTGTTTTGAAAACGAAGGTGATCATATATCTGTAGCTTTTGTATATCCACTACCCTTGTTAGCAATATTTCAAAATCGTACTATAGAACGGTGCACACCTCACTGTTCCATACTCTTAAAAGGCATTTAAGCATTTTACCTGTGCCATAAATGGTGTAAACTGGCGAAAAACCGAACGGATACTTCATGTTCATGTCGGTATTTCACAAGCTACTGTTTCATTCAGAGAGGGCTGCAACTCGAAGCGGTCGATGGCGTCAACCGCCTAGTGCCCTAGTTATCATTGATGCAGCCCAACCATAAATTGAAATTTAGTGTGTGAAAAGTTCATCATCCGAGAAACGGCAACGCGAACTCCAGAAGCACATCATCATAAATTCAGTTAAAAGTACAGAGCTTAGGCATCTGTCGTAAGCGCCACCTGACGTACTGGCCTTATCGTACTCATTGACATAAATAGGAGTTTTCGTGTCAAAAAAAATCAGCAGTGTTTTGTGCTAACTAAACATTCCTATCAGGGAGCGTTTATCGTGAAACCTATTGATCTCTTGAGTTAAATCCTATCCTTATGTGTTAGAAATTATAATTATTGTTTGTTATCTGGTCGAACCGTGTAGGAAAATGTGGACTTCGTGTTTGGGGTCCGTGTAATAACAGAAACCAATGGTAAGAGACTCTGAACGACATGGTTCAGGATCGATGTCAGTGGTGCAGATCTGACCATACATTATCCTCATCGTGGTCGTCATACTGAATTCAGTATTTTCTTATTCCTCTTTCCTCTCTTTTACTGCATTCTATTGAGTTTGACCGATTCTTCTCTATTTCTTCATCTTTCATCTTACTGCTTTATTGCTTTGTGTTCTGATATGAGGTGCAACAACTTTGACCGTTATGCAGTAATGCCCAGCCCTATTTTGATATTGATGATGGTGGGTAATATATCGACATTCTAATGCCTGACAGAGTGTTATACACGATTGCTACTCTATAGGAAGACCTGCAAGTAACACAGTTCCATAAGACTTCTTGTATCCAAGTTATACTCCAGTGTTGGAAAACAGGATTTTGATGACTATATTAGTTAGACCTATTCAACCGTTGATTATCATACGAACACTTTTATCCTTTCTTAGAAGTTGGTTGGTACGGTAGAGGGTGGAGACCAATTAAAGGGGAAGCCTGCACAACAGTTCACTGAAGTCTATTTCTCATTCTCTACATTTCCTTAGTCATGTATGCGCAAATCAATAGTTTTCACTAGTGCTCATTCTCTAACTCACCTTTGCATAATCTAGTATTCTATCTGTTGACAGTTATGACTGACTACCTAAATAGTAGAGGCATTAATTTGCGTGAATTGGTAACTGTATATTCATTAATTTTGTGAAAACAGTTTGTACAAAGTGTTTGTGCTTTTTGTTTTACTTTACGTTATCTAGATGTCTATTGTTTGGCTGACTTAGATCCCTTGAATCCATCTATGCTCGGGTGTATGAATTCTCCAGTGTTAGTAAATACACCTTTGAAATTTCCACGTCGTTTCTCTACTTCTATAATCAAAGTTAGTTGGTCGTACATATAGTAGTTTTATTGTTTGAAACCCAGTTTCTTATATCAGTTTTTTTATACGAAAAACAACAACATAATTTTGCTACTCTAAACAAAATTTCTAACACTGGAGCCGGTCATATGGTTAGAATTTATAAACTTTACTTCTTAGATAATTGATGAAGTTAGGAAATTCCTGAAAAATTTACAAGCAGTCAGCATACTCTGAAGATTCGGGAAATCACCTTAGTCACATATCTAACTACCCAATTGGATAATTCCACAAAACTCGAAGACCAATTGTTTATGCATAAATATAGCCGTGTTTTTTTTTACTGCATACATCAGCGTTGTAATGAATATCTAATTGTTTTACCTCCTTTCCCGTTATTGACCTTCCATTCAGTAAAGCCAGATCCTCCCGTTTATGCTGTCATTCATTCACGTAAATCATGAATACTTTTCGTAGTTTCTATAACCATCTAGAGGATCAGCATCACTTTTTGACAATATAAGCAGATCTATTATTCTTCAAGTAGCTTAACTTAGAGTGAAGCTTGGGCGTAATCTTTTTGTTTTTAGATTTATCTTTAGTGCATTTAATGTACAATCCTGATAGATATGTTTTGGGACTAATTGCATTACTATTTGATAATTTATTACAATGGATTCGCACCTAGATACGCCCTCCAAATATATTATTGGGTTTTCTGCTTTTAAAGAGAATTATGAAATAGTATTTTCACTTTTTGCTAACCAGAACTCGTAAACTCAGATACACATAGGAATAACAAGAATAATAATTGTAATAAGTTGATCATGTTAGAAGGTTGTAGGTGTACACCACTGTCACTTTGGAAGCATTGCTCACATGTCGTGCAGCTACTATGTCAGTAACGGAGCTAAGGCTCAGAGTTCCAGACAGATTAGGTAAATGTTAGTTGGTTTGAGACAGTTGATGAGGTTGGGAATTTTGATCAACCCAGGTAACTATCAAGAACATACTTTGCACGCATACCTAGTCACTGTCTATTGTATCCTGAAATGTTTGACTGAAGTAGGGTTAAACTGGCAAAAGCTTAAAGGCAACTAGACTAAAACATGGAATCAATAGTACATGAAGTCTCTGACTATTGGTTTAAGCTGTGTTGGGCAATGTAGACTTCCATATGACAGCCGAAATCAGTGAGTGGAGATTGTGGGCGATATGGCTCAGATGCATCCACACGCAGTGCTTTCACCCCGATTATCGTATCGAATTTCGTTATTGTGTTGCCTCTCCCTCCTCTCACTCTTGCTGATAGTATATAGAAGTGCGGCTATTATGAAGATTTATTGATGGATATGGAACTACACTTATTTCTGCGATTATTACTTTCTGTAGTATATTCCAGAACAGCTAATGTAGTTTGAAATGGTGATGATCTCTCTAAATAATCAAGATTATCTTCATTAACCCTATGGCCTTGAAATGACCAGTTGATCACACTTGATTTTAGAACTGAGAATACGTCCACTGTATAGGTATACTAAGTTATCAGCGGGTTCATTGTGATTTTGAAATCTGTGTATCTGAAACATGTTAAATTGTGTACTGGCTATTTGTTTAACTGTTGTGTCAAATGGAATAATTCATACCCATAAAGTGAGTACACTTTCACCTTGGGATTTTTGAAGTGCTTAGAATCAAACCTTTTTAGAAATAACTTCTAACTGACTATGAGGCATGGTTTTAAGTACTTCATTTTTGACTAGTTGGCCATGAATGCGAACGCCACTCCTCTGGGTGGTATCATTCACCTTCACACGTCATTTTTGCCTCATTGCTCAGTACTCACAAACCTTGTACACTTTTGTTGAGTTGCCCTTACTACTTTCAGTGACAAGCTACGCTTGTTGAAATGATCGGTCTATTTTTAAAACTTTTTGGGTTATCATCACTGTAGAATTCATCAGTGTAGGTATCAAGAATCGTGCCAGTCTTTTTAATCACGTAGTGTGCTTTTTTTTTTAGAAAGGTGAAAATTTTTGATTTCTTATTTTTGGTTAGTCCTGTTATTTTGCAAATACATAACTTGTCATCTAGTTGGGATAAAATTATCATTTCAGACCCAGGCGAATAACTTAACTCGAGGTCTCCAAGCATCGATACCAGAAAATATGCAACTGAAAGTCGACTCTTTCGAGCTGCTGCATACTCAAAAATCACTTCATCCTAACTCTCTATGTTTAACAGCTCCATCTCTCAACAGTGAATCTCCGTCTTGTGAAGACAAATCCATCATGCCTGTCAATAGTTCTATAGCCATTAGTTCCCTTCACGTACCTTCAAAATCACCAAAACACGCATCATCTCCAGAAAGTTTATCCAACCGTTTGTTAGGTACTCCTGAGTATTTGGCACCAGAACTACTACTTCATCCATATTCAAAAATCGCTTGTGACAGTCCAGCAGTTGATTGGTGGGCTTTAGGTGTTATATTATTTGAGATGTTGGTTGGCGTAACTCCATTTTCGGATGACACTGTAGAAAATGTATTTCACAACATACTCCGTTTAGGTATGTTTTAGTAAACAGGTGCATTCGTTTATTCTTCACTATTATCTATTTTTTATCATTACATTGTTTTAAAGTATATCGCTTTAATATACCTAGGCTGAACTGAAGTGGAGTTTATGTGAAACAGTTTGAAGCACATGCCTTTCATGTTTGTTTTTAATGGCGAAAATAGTTTTACAAGTGTTTAGTCTCTGATAAATTCAAAACATCGGTAGCATATGACTGACCTACTGGTTGATCAATTTTCATAGTAGCGTAGAATATTGTTCCACAGCTTGATCCTGTTCAGTTGATGGGATAGACCCTAAATTATTTGGGACAAAGTTACTGATCTAATGCATTACTAATGCAAGTGGGTGATTAATGGCTCCACAAATTTCCTGAAGCCCAGCTTCACTTCAGCAATTCAGCTTTTGGCATGTTTTGTTTATTCTGCGTAGTATAACATCATTTATCACGATCAATGAAACCAGCAGTAGACTTATACTTTGTTGATTTCCCTGCAGTTACATGGTCTGACAGCTTTGCTCTCAAAGTGATGGTACTTTTTCATTTTACCATACGGGTGTGAAGTGATGGCGTTTTGGTTGGTGACTGAGCGTAAATACCAATAGAAATAGCCGTTTTATTGGATGACATTACACACTGGTCAATACCTACATGTTAGAACTAAAAATATTCCTTGCATAGTCACATAGGTGGACAAAGATCTGTCCGCACCTAAAGGATAAGTTTATTTATCACAATAGTGATGATTATCCTATTATTCCAGACAATATGGTTGATACAATAAGAAAATTTCCTTGTACATTACTTCCAAGTGAAATAACTACGGCATCTCACTAATTTTCATAACAACAGTATTACAAACAATAATATATAACACCCAACTGTTGTTAGATTATTGTCTAGTGTGATGGTTGGAACGACCATAAATGCGTGCGTGCGTTTTGGTGGTGGTGGCTATGATAGTAAGCAAGGAAATCTGCAGAGTTCGACCTAGGTACTTCGTGAATAGTTATTATATATATGCATTTTGAGAATGCGCGTGAATATATTTTACAATTTGTTGACTTTTAAATAATTAAAACAAGTACAAATAGAATAATTTGATGTAATATAGGATGAAAACGTTTTGGTATCCCAAAATTTTCATGCAGACCGCCAGCAGTGTAGATTGTATTGATGCAGAGCTGTCGTTTTTAAAAGGTACGCTCATCGAAAACGGTTACATCTGCTATTTTGTTGATGAAAATATAGAAGAAAAAAATACCAAACAGGTCACTCACTTGGTTTCAAAAAGAATATTGTTCGGGAACCTAGAATTTAAAGATGACCAAGCATCAGATGTACTCAAGAATCGTCTATGTAAATCAATCAGTAGAACGTTCTTCAAATCAAGACCGCAATTGACTTTTACCAACCGTAAACAATTTTTCGTTTGTTTGAAGGATAAGCTGCTTTGCCTGGCCGCCTTTATATGTACCAGCTCACCTGCTCTTGTAGAGCAAGGTATATCAGCTGTAGTCAAAGAATGCTATCGAAACGTATACGAGAAAATGTTCTAGCTTGGTTTTATAAGTGTGAAAGGTTTGTTAGAGAAGTTCTATTCTAGAACATTTGATTGATTTCCACCGTTCAACAAACCCAGAAACTGACTTTTAAAATTGTCTATCAAATTCGTTCAAACCTCCCGCATTTTCTTCGTTTTCAATTCCATAAAACAGCGTAGACCTTAGCTATTCACAAACTAAAGCTTGATCTGTGTGCACAAAAGAAGTATGTAAGTACTGTCATTGTTTTCATCATGGTCATTACTTTTCCCCGTTCTCACTAGTTTCACCCCTTTTTTGAATTAATCTTTGTATCTTTCCTTTATCACTATTATTATTGCCATAATTATCTTCACTTTGATTAGTCTGCAGTGTTATTTCACTTCGTTAGCTTAATCCTTTAAGAAAACATTCATTTCGTTTTGACCAATTTGTCGAATCCCTAACGTTCTATGAACTATTCAACTTGTTACATAATCTGACCGAAATTGAATAGCATCATTGTATGTCAACATTCATTATAAATGTATTTATTATAAGTTGATTACATAATCTACTTTGTTGTTGTTCGTACTTCAGCTGTTATCATAATCACATGTACCTATACCAAAATCACTTATTATTATTACGGTTTTTAATTTTCCCCACGGGATGTGATTTTTCAAGTAAAGTATATGTCCAAACGTACAGCTTGGAACTGATATATATGCTGATACCAACATCAATAGCATTATAGGTATGCTAATATAGCGTTTTGTTCATAATCTTGGTTATGTGATGGATTGTGAGAACTTTGATGTTGCTTGATATAAGTAGCTTTCCTAGTAGAGCCCATGGGATCGTAGTCGTATTAGAATTTTTTTAATCGGAGAAGCAGACTGTTAATCATTGGCTGCTACATGATGCTTTCTGCAAATTTTTGTATTTCGAACCTCCCTCCAATCTATAGTTTTAACTTTTTGCCTGTACTTGTTTTCGTTACCATTTCTCCAGTTCTTTATTACTTATTCAGGTTACACAATTCTGTTGTATTGATTTAAGGTGAGGCTAACCAGCGTTATGCACAGGAGTTATGTCTACATGTGCCTCGTTCGTTTAGGTAATCAACTTGCCGTCAATAATAGGTCATGGTTTCAGACCACACTCCACCTACTGAAGTTCGGACGATCGCTGTTATCGTCTGTTTGTACATATTAAGTGGGGCTCACTACCTGATCACAAACTAGCACATAGTTGCTGCGTTACATTTAATTTCATTCAACTTCTGAATGATTGTACGACAGTGACTCTTTTTCTTATTCCTCTTTCTGTTTCTTATCCATTAACAAATGTATTGTTTTTGGACCGCTGCCTTCATCAGCCTTGTTCTCTTTTTGAAGCAAGAAATTATCAGTGCCTGTAAATTTCGTCTATCCTGTACTGCTAACAAGTCTTATCTTCAAGGTTGTGTCTATTGGAACCCTCTAACTTACACAATTGAGACAAATAATGTATGATTTTATTGTAAACTTTCATCTCTACCTAGAAAATAGTCTTCATTCACCACAGAAGTATAAGCTGTCAGTTATAAACTATTGATTTACATCCATCTGAAGAAAACTTCACATGACATTTAGACCTACTTCGGAGATTAGGATTACTCTATAAATGAATCGAATTAATTTGTATTTCAGAAATAAGCAATAATGAAAACCTTTCAGTTTCACACGGTTTTAATTGCTTCAAATCTGATTATTTATGTGTAGATATACAATGGCCTGTCGTTTCAGAGCACTCTCCTGACGTAGATGCATTGTCACAAGAACATTCTGGACTATCACAAGCAGCTGTAACCTTAATTACCGGTCTACTGTCTTACAATCCTGGCGAGAGACTTGAAATTGCAAGCCAAATGAGGTATTGTGATTTATTGACACCAGTCGGCGATTGGAATAATTTGCATAACATAGAAATGCCGTTCATTCCTCATCCCGACAATTCAACAGATACATTTTATTTTAATGTAAGTGAATTGATAATTTTTATCTTCTGTGGTTGAGAGATAAATATTTAATTAAGCTTTGTAGTTCATACTAACTTTACTGTTGAGTTATTTGTACCGTCAAACCTCAACTTCGTTCGTGGGTTCGATCCGTGGTAGGGGTCATGGGTGCACATTGCCAAAAAGTCCTGTACTAGGACGAAACAGCTATCCAGTGCTAACTGGTTCCCAATGTTTCTCCAACTGATACCAGTCTATGATGAATATCAGCCTGAAATCAATAAATAAATCCTCACAAACCTCAAAATGAAATAAACTTAATCATAACAGCATAAATGTTACCTGAAGGAAAAATTGAAGAGAAGAGACTCGTTTTTCAAAAAAAAAAACTCGATAGTTATGTGTGATCAGTAAAGAAAATGAAACTCAGAAAATCCCTGACGCCGTTCGGTTTTGGTATCTTCACGAATGGTCTTTCGAAATATTTATCACTAACGATCAACTCTGCGAGTAATCGGTTCAGCCACATAACATCTGAAAATTATAACAAGAGAACTAGATGCAAGTGTAGTGAGTTTCACTATCGTATTGGTCCTATTTCAAATAAGACAGAATGTTAAAATCACTGAACAGTAACGAGAATTTCATCAACTGCGTGAAAATAATCCTCACAGACCATTAGTTTGTGCTGATACCCCAGCGAGCTAAATTCAGCGGTGGGCGCATATAGACCACATTGCTATTAGTCATCACTGGAGAGGATCGGTGGAAGACTGACGCTCCTTCTAGAGTACGCGTTTGGATAGCGACCACGCGTCTCAGTGGACTTAGGAAAAATTTGTCAACAAAACCATTACGGGTCCAGCTTGACAACGAAAACATCAAAACCGCTTTCAGTAAAAAATTAGCTAGGCAGTTATCGGAACAAAACACTGTCACTCGCCCAGAAGAAGCTTAGTGCCATCTCTAGTCTGCTGGGAAAGCAGCGCTGAAGACGGTAGCCGACTCCGAAAGAGTGGATAAAAAGAGCCAGTGGATATCTTTAGCTTCTTCCGAACTAATGAATGCACGTGAACGTATCCCTGAAGGCTCTGAGTACAATGAAGAGCAAACACAACTTAAAACTACGTTGAGAAGTCTACGCAAACAATCGCGAACAGTGGTGGGGAGCGAAGGCCAAAGAAACGGAAAAGGCAGCGGCGATTGGTAGCAGTAGACAGTTATTTAGACTTATTAGGAAAATGGGGGGAGAGAAAGGTCAACAACAGTTAGTGAGACTGTAGGGAGAAGGACGGTTCCGCGATTCAGTCGCGGGGGAGACGATTAAAACGTTGGGTAGAACACTTCAAGGAACAGTTTAAATGGCCTCCAGACACCATTGCGTTGCCCGCTATCCAGTTGAATCCTGAATGGAACATTGAGATAGGCCCCCCAACACTTGCGGAAGTCGAGAAGGCAGTAGGTAACTTGAGACGAGGAAGGGCGGCATGACCAGACGGACTAACTCCAGAGGTATATGCGGATGGTGGTAAGGTACTCTTAGGTTAGCGGAAGTATAAACCAGTATATGGGAATCAAATACGATCCCTTCTGACTGGTCTAGGTCACTGATTATTCCAGTCTTCAAGAAAGGTGAGAAGTCCTCTTGTGATAACCACAGAGGAATCAGCCTGACTAACATAGTGTCTAAGATTCTAGGTTCTATAATTCTCCGACGCCTTAGTCGAGCTCGGGAACAGCAAGTCCGAGAAAACTAGGCAGGCTTTAGACCCGGTCGCGGGTGTATCGACCAAATATTCACACTGCACCAGGTCCTGGAACATAGACACGCTTACTGACGCCTAACATTAGCTGTATTTCTCGACCTGAAGGCGGTATTCGACTCCTTTTATCGAGAAGTCTTATGGCAGCCTATGTTGGGATGCCCGGGGAGCTGTACTCATCGAGTGGTGTCCATCAAGACTACCCACTGTCTCTATTCTTATTCACTTTTATCGTAAATATTTTTATGAAGATCTCCCCCTGGTCACCTGACTACACACGTTGATCTAATCTCAGGAGAATTTTCGTTAGACCTAGAATACTCAGATGACATAGTCCTGTTGAGTGAAGACGCTGACAAGATGCAGTCTTTCAGACACTTTGATTGGTAACTTGAGAATGTTTAGGATGCATATCTCACCACCCAAATCCAAATTGTTGCTCCAGGATTGGTCTTCAGCAGTGCCACGGCTAACAGTAGAGAGTGTAGTGGTTGAGAGTGTCAACCACTTCACTTACCTGAGGAGTAGGATCAGCCCTGCCCTGGTGGCTCAGTGGCCGATGAAATTTCTGCACGGATACAAAAGGCTCGATTGGCTTTCGCCAACTTACGCCACCTGTGGCGCTGCCGTGATATCCGTTTTATTATTAAATGTCGCGTGTACTGCACAGCAGTCCGCTGTGTTCTACTGTATGGCTGTGGAACATGGCCATTGAAGGTGGAAGATATGAGAAGGCTTCAGGTGTTCGACCATTGTTACCTTCGCAGTATAGGCCGTATTCCGTGGTGTTACCACGTGAGTAACGCAGAAGTCAGGTGTAGAGTTTTAGGGAGTAGAGGTAAATCAGTTGCCGAGGTTATGAACCTTCATCGACTGAGATGGTTGGGACATGTGTTACGTGTGTGTCTAGTCACCGATTGCCTCGGCACACAATGTTGGCTGAAGTAAGTCCAGGCTGGAAAAAGGCCCGAGGTGGCCAGACTAAAACATGGCATCAATGTATGAAGTGTTTGACTGTTGGTTTGAGCCATGTGGCGCGATGCAGACTAGGTGGTTGGGGTCCACGGGACAAGAGGAACCAGTGGTTGGAGACTCTAGGTGATATGGCTCAGAACCGATGTGAGTGGCGCAGATGTATACACACATTATCCTCATCTCAACACTATACCGAATCTCACCATTTTGTTATTCTTCCTTTCTTTCTTCTCGTACTTTACATTTCTCTTGACTGAATTTCCTTATCTTCATCTTGCACTTCACTGCCTTTTTATTGGATGTGGTGATAAAAGCTGTGGCAACTCAGACCGTTACTCAGGAATGCCTGGTCTTATGTTGATGATGATGATGATACCCCAGAGGTTATGTAGTCGTTTGCCTATGAATTGGTAATTTCTGAGTCACTAGGAGAAACAAAATAGATGACAGCAATCTAATCACCTAGATGTCAAAGGACATCAAATTCACAACAACAAATTTAATCTTTAATAGGATTATTCACCATATTAACCGGGAGAATCGATATCAGAGAAGAAGATAGGAAATCAACTAATACGAATCATTTTCGTTCCTACCTGTTCTAAAAAAAGTATTCTTTAAATGAGCATACGTTCATTGGCGAATATAAAAAAGCCTTCTTTCACAAGTGTTTTCACGTAATTAATTATTAATTAGGGTAGCTTATCAGCGACCCTCTCAATCGACTGTATTGAATTAGAGAACTATACTTCTGTAAGTCAGAATTCACTTAAAGACACTAAGCATACTGCTGTTACCAATTCGAATAATTCCTCCCAAAATAACGAGAAATCCCCATTTAGTCGTTGAAAAACAAAGAGAGGTTACACCTAAGATAATCATCTCTTCGACGACTCATTTTCACTGCTGTACATTCCTAAATATGTAAGTAAAATGATAGAAAGTTTCTTACAAGTTCCAGGTCAAAGGTCAAACCTAATCGACAGGTGTATATAGGAGATGAAATGATATTATGTAACACATTGAAATAATCTCGGTAATTTTTAATAAATGCTATAAACTGTAAGATTTGGTTTCTGGTCAAAAGAAATAAATAAACATGTACTAAAATACAAAATAAGTGAATATAGTATGAAATAAAATATCAACGGGAGTGCAAAGTACCTGATTAAGACCATAGAAAGTATAGTGTTTGTACATGTTTCTTTTGAATACACAGTTGAGGTTTGAAGCAGTGAATTGCCAAAGCTTAAGTTGTACGTGTCTAATCCTCACTCCTTCTGAACGGTTCTGTTGAACTGTGTAAAGAACTTTGAATGAAGTTTCCAGAGGAGCCAGATGTCCAGAGTCTACGAGATTTTCAACGATGGATCTGGAGATGGTTTTGTGCTCACTTTTCACAAACCACGCTGGAATTACTATAGCATCTTTGAGTTTGCTGAAACATGAGTATCTTGAACAGAAAGTTAACAAGGTCAAAACATCTTAAGATTATTTAAGTAGTCTTTTGCTTTTCATTGACAACCATGATTGAATCTGCATGACTGTGAACTTTATCTGCTTTGTGAAGTGTAGCAAACTTGTTTACATCATAGTTAATAGTTTTTATTTAACTAAGTGTCGAAAATGTTTGACTTGGATTATCAATTTACAGAAATTCACGAAAGGTTTTTAAGTTATATCAAAAGCTTCCTGTTAGATAACTGGATACTTAGTTTGAGTAACAAAATTACGAAAAAAGAAGCTGATATCAGTTCACGTAGCCTCTTGTTACCAAGCAACTGAAGTACTACGGATTCACAGATGCTACTTTACGCTTTGAAGTTGTGGGGAAATCAAATAAGAGAGTTCCGAATAAAATTGTTAAAATTGATTTCTGCAGCAAAACGTTTTTATTTATCAATTACAGTAGATTACTGTTATTGTTGTACTCTAATGACCGATGAATGACAAGTTTAAGCGCCCTTTGTCAATCACGCTTTTAATTTTTTTAGTTTTCAAAATCTCTTCGTGCAGTTCTGTATTTTGTCATGTTGAGGTCATGTAAAGAGTACTAAGCCTGACACGTAAATCGATTGATGAGGTTGTGGACCTTAATCAGCTGAGTTGGCTTCGACATGTGCTACGCATGCCAATCCACTGCTTACTTCAGCGCGCAATGATAAGGGAAGTTCGATTAGGTTGGAAGAGGGTTCAGAGTGGCCAGATGAAGATGGGGCACTAGTCGATGAAGTCTCCTACTGTTGGTCTGAGTCGTGTTGGGAGATAAATATAGTCTACCTGCCTGGGGTCCTTGAGACGAAAGGAATCAGTGGTTGAGAACTCTTAGTGAAATAGCTGAAAATCGGTTACAGTGACGCAGATATGTTCACTCCTTGACTTTCTTTAAAACTTGAATGTTTTCACTAACCTTTATCTTCAAATTGTTTGTTTTGTCAGAATATTTTGTCTACTTCGACATTAGGCGGCCTGCTTGAACTGTGGGCTACCGTTTTCTATCATCGAGTATATTGCATAAAATTTCTTATTTCTATATTGTTTTAATCATTTTGTTATGTCAACCAATCGTATTGTATATTCTCGCGCGTTTTTAAAATCATTACAACCTATCGCTTCGCAAGTTGATAGGAAATTTAAGAAGAAGCACCACGTAGATGGCAACGAGCTCTGAAGCGTATGACCATAGATCAAATGACTATTGCGGAAATACTTAGCACAGACTGCAGGTCGTTGCCGAATAAAGTTGATTACCTTCAGTCACTCTTGTCCACAAATGTTTATCGAAACACGGGTGTAATAATGCTGCAGGAAACATGGCTTCATAATCTGTATGATGATGACTTAGTCTGCTTAGATGGTTTCAAATTATTTCGACAAGATCGAAGCTTTTCGAAGAAGAAATGTGGTGGTGGTGTAGCAACATTTATTAGTACTAACTGGTCCTCCTCCAACTATGTATGCTTCTGCTTCTCCAACGAAAAAATTGAGTGCATTACCATCAAATGTCGCCCCAAATATTTGAGCAAATAAAAATACACATATATCACAAACATGTATGTCACACCTGACTGCAGCATATGTGAAGCCCGTAAACGGGCTCTGCTGCTAAATTCCGACCACTGTATCGTTCGTGTTTTGCCTAAAGTGTACGGAAAATTATACAAGAAAGCTTTTGCATACCTTTCAAGGAAAGTTCAATACAGATGCTATTCACAAGAAAATATATTACTTTTGAGAAGCATGCTTATAGAAACGGACTGGGATATATTTGCTGATGAAGTTTAAGACAACACTATTACCAATATCACAAGCTATCTCAGATTCTGTCTCGATATCTGCTGCCCTACTGAAACAATTTATATGAGATTTGACAGACTTTCCTCTCTTCATCTCAAGAGGCTTCGGAGAGAAAAGGAAAGGTTGTATAAGGTGAGAGATCACCCTGGCGTTAAAAGGCTTAACTGCCTAATTAAGTCTGAAATACGTCTGAATACTATATACAACGAGAAGTTCTTATCGTGTAAGAACTCTTCCAATATATGGAAATTATTTAAAGAGCTTACTGGTAAAAACAGATGACAACACAAACTCGTTCGGATATCTGCGCGTTAAACGTCAGCAAGTTAATTTCACTCTTCCTAATGTGCTTTCCAGCTTCCAATACAAATGATGTATTTAAATGTCTAAAGTCTTTGAATCCCTCCCAAAGCTTAGGTCCTGATGGTGTTTCTAGTATCATATTTAGAAAATGTGCAGATATTTTGTGTCATCCACTTACAGATATCTTCAATGTATCGTTCTCTAAAAACATAATACCCACTGCTTGGAAGCAGATAAAAATTGTACCTGTGCCTAAGCCATCTTCTGGATCAGATGTTACTTTTCGACCCATCGCTATAACTTCCCCTTTTCTGAAGACAATGGAGAAATTACTTCTCCTTGTGATTGAGCCTTCATTGATGGCCTTCAGAGATCCAAAACAGTTTGCTTACAAACACCAGAGGAGTACTTTAGATGCAGCTACTGTCTTGCATCATAATATTGTTTCTAGTCTCGACAAAGGTGTTAAGTATGTCCGTTGTGCCTTTTTGGATTACTCATCAGCCTTTGACTCTGTTCCTAGACCACTTTTGTTAAATAAGCTTGCCATAGCTCACACTGATCCATGGGTTACAAAATGGCTGCATTCTTATTTTTCTGAAAGGAAACAGTACACTATTCATAAAGGATGCGCTCGACTTCATTGCTTACTGAAGCTGGTGTGCCTCAAGGTGCTGTACTTTCTCCTTTTCTGTTTTCCTTTTTTTGCACGATTTGCCTTATTCTGTTGAAACTAAGTATGCTGACGACCTGACGATTTCTATTCCAGTAAACTCTTCTTTGGATTGCTCGAAATTAAATGAATTCTTGTCTGAAGTTGGCAAATGGTCTCAAACTAAACCCCTCTAAATGTCAGACCGTTAATTTTAGCCTCAGGCGTAAACAAGACTTATGTGAGCTGCTTAAATCTCATGACGCCTGCTGCATCAATGGTATTTCTGCAGAAAGTAAATCGAGTGTGAACTATCTTGGGTTGCGTTTTACTTCTGACCTTTGTTGGTCGTCCCATATTTTATTGACTTGTAAAAAAATCTTTCGTTTAACTTATTACGTAAAGAAATTGAGGCTTTCTGGTATAACTCAACTGCTTCTTTTACAATTTATTAATTCCTGCATTTTACCTATTCTTCTATATTGTTCCCCATTAATCTTTCCTGGTCTTCTTAAAAAGGACTATGTTATGTTGCGTAGGGCTTTGAAGACCGTCAGCAGGGTGAGTGGTGTGTCTCTGGCTCAACTGATTAACACTGTAGTTGATCGACATATAAATTCCTGCAAGCTACTAGCTACAGAAATTTTAACTGACAGTGAGCATCCACTTCATTTACAGCTCTCTCCATGTATCTCCTCAGGGAGGACAAGGAGAAACTACATAAGACTGTATGCTCGTACAGCTAAGTATAAGAATTCGACTGTACCTTACCTTGCACGTATATTTTGTGAGGAAAAAAGTGTTAGAACAGAAATCACACATCAACTTTGTGACAGTTAAAAATCTCATTTCAATAATTTAACTTACAATGCAAAATTTTCTCGTTTTTAATATTCTTCACATAACTTAAATTTTTATAATAAAACAATTGAAAGGCTGCAAAGTAGTATGTATATACTTATATTTTGTTGTTATTGCAATATATATTACGCTGAGAATTCCAAATTGTACCACAAATTGTTTGGAATAAAGTGAATTATTATTATTATTACTCTTTTTTGATCCATTTGTTCTTTGTGTTCTACTGTGAAGTTTGGTAGCTTGAACCGATGCACCGGTGTGCTAGTTTTTGTGTTGATTTTCTCTGTCTGTGTTTTGTAAAGAATAAAATCCAGTAATGAAGTTTGTCGTAGTTGTGAAGTATACTACATGAATAGTCATAAACCACTCACATTGACTGATCTAAGCATTGAACAACCGTTTGAGCCTTTCAAGGCTGAACTCATCAACAGTGTTCGCAAACACATTCACTTGAAAAAGTTAAACTTTCTAAGGAACTTGGGTCTGGCAGTTCAAAAAATAATTGCGAAATGTCAACGTTAACTGTGCAGTGTGTAAAATATTTCTCACATTGCTCACCTGAATACTGCTATGCTTTTAAATATTTTATTTCTCATTTATGTTTTGTAATTAGAGGAGGTAGTATTGATCACGGACTGACATAATTTGGGGAACCATTTAAAATCTGGGAGCACTGAACAGCTGTTTCGTCCTAGTATGGCGATAGTGGCGCTATATCGTGTTACGACAAAAGTTCGAAACTATGAACCACTGGAAATCGACTCAGTGACTGAATGGTTAACTCGTTCACCGTGAAACATGAAGGTCCTGAGTTCAATCCCTAACCGGGTCGTTGGCACCTACTGGTGGGGAGTCCCATATTAGTGGGACGAAACAGCTGCCCGGTGCTCCTAAATTTTCATTGGTTGCCCAACTGATGTCAGTCCGCGATGAATAAAATTCCCATTCATCTCAGAAATATATCTAGTAATTAATTTACTTTTCTGTTGTCATTTTCCTACCTTACAGGTTCGTAATCAATATAATCAATATACTGAAGAGGATTTACGTGTACATATGAATACTGATTAAGTTGTGAATCTTTTTTACACCAAGGATTTTACAACTCAGGTTCATAAACAATTAATTACTTTCTTTTTATAAATGTCATGATTCCCCTTTTACTGTTTCTCCTTTTTATAGTGTTTAGCATTGTTTTTATCTCAAACTAATGTGATTACTACCATATATGTTTATGTTTGAGTTAATGTTACATATCTGTTTTTAACAAATGTTCTACTTGTTTAAAAAAAAGTCATCCCCATCCTTTAAAAAAAATAAATTGACGTTTAATTTGTTGGCTATGCAAATACAAAGGGGTCTCTTTAACATTTCAGTAAATGAAATAAATCTTTAATTTACTATATTATGGTGTAAGTGAAAAGTTGGGCAATTATGTTTAGTTCAATTTTGAGGTTTGTGGGGATTTATTTTTGGTTGGTATTTATCATGGACTGACATCAGTTGGAGAAACATTGGAAACCAGAAAGCACTGGACAGCTGTTTCGTCCTAGTACAAGACTTCTTGCCAGTATGCACCCATGATTCCACCATGGATCGAACCCAGGGCCTTTAGGCTCTGTGAGCAGCGCATTACTACTGGGTAGGAATCCACTGGTTCATATTTTTCGACTTCTGTCGGTTCACGATGTAGAGTGATCTCCGTCCAGCGCCGTCACTAAGTAACCTTCCTCCAACTTGGTTGATCCCACTGGTCGTGACTGGAGAAAAATAGACCACTGGAATTTGGCCCAGTGGCTCAACGTAACGTGCTGGCCATAGAACTTAAAGGCCTTGGATTCAATCCCTCGCATGGTCATGGTTGCTCACTGCTGAGGAGTCCTGTACTGGAACGAGACAACTATCCAGTGCCCCCAAGTTTCCAATGTTTCTCCAGATGATGTCAGCCCATGATGAATACCAACCTGAAATTATGTTTAGGTCGATGAGGGTTTAACTTCTCAAGTTTCAACTTTTAAGATGCACTGCGCTTTACTTCGAAATCTCATCAGCAACTAACCCACCGGGGTTAGTTGCTGATGAGTTTTCTGCACTGATACAAAAGGCTCGATTGGCTTTCGCCAACTTACGCCACCTGTGGCGCTGCCGTGATATCCGTTTTATTATTAAATGTCGCGTGTACTGCACAGCAGTCCGCTGTGTCCTACTGTATGGCTGTGGAACATGGCCATTGAAGGTGGAGGATGCAAAAAGGCTTCAGGTGTTTGACCACCGTTGCCTTCGTAGTATAGGACGTATTCCGTGGTGTCACCATGTGAGTAATGCAGAAGTCAGGTGTAGAGTTTTGGAGAGAAAAGGTAAGTCAGTTGACGAGGTTGTGAACCTTCATCGACTGAGATGGTTGGGACATGTACTACGTATGCCTAGTCACCGATTGCCTCGTCACACAATGTTAGCTGAGGTGGGTCCAGGCTGGAAAAAGGCCCGAGGTGGCCAGACTAAAACATGGCATCAATGTATTAAGTGTTTGACTGTTGGTTTGAGCCATGTGGCGCGATGCAGACTAGGTGGTTGGGGTCCACGGGACAAGAGGAACCAGTGGTTGGAGACTCTAGGTGATATGGCTCAGAACCGATGTGAGTGGCGCAGATGTATACACACATTATCCTCATCTTAACAACGCTATACCGAATCTCACTATTTTGTCACTCCTTTTTCCTTTCTTCTCGTACTTTATATTTCTTTTGACTGCATTCACTTATCTTCACCTCACTACCTTTATACTTGATGAGGTGTGGCAACTCGGACCGTTACGCAGTAATGCCTGGTCCTATGTTGATAATGATGATGACACCCCTCCCCAGTAGTTGCGTAAGGCAGATTACAAGTGTACTACAATTTATTTCATAAGACCTTAGATGAAATAATGAACAGGGAAATTAACCGTTTTAGGGGATCATCTAACATTTAGGAAAGAATCAGTTACTATTGGTATTCAATCCAAAATAATTGGTTACCTAAACAACTATACGGTGTAGATTTTATATATATATATATATATATATATATATATATATATATAAATTTCAACCTATAAACCCCAGTAAACTGAAAAGCATAAAAATATTTGATAATCATTAAAAAAACTATTTTTATACAAAACTGATTACAAATTGCTACCCATGAACAGTTTGAAAATGCATTTCTACATCATTGTACATGTATGTAAGTATTCATATATACTCAGTTGATTCTTCATCTAAAAATGGAGGATTTAAGAATTCAAATTCCACTAAATCACTTGTAGATTGTGAAAATATTGAGAAATTCTTATGAACATTCTCATAGTCAATTTGTAATTGTTGAATGAGCTGATTGAATGCTTGTGAAATAACATCACGGAATAATGCAGTTTGTTCTTGTAGTTTTTGTTCTAGTGAATTAATTTTAAGGTCTTTTTCTGCTAAACATTTTTCAAATTCTTGATTAAGATTTTCCAGTTGACTATTTCTTAATTCAATGAGTTGATTTGCTTCATTTAATTTTGTACTTAGCTTTTCCATTTCATTGCGTAAATTGGCAACCTTCATCTCATTCTCTGTGACTAGAAATGCTGTATGATTTTGTGTAGACATTTTTATTTCTTCATATTTTTCTACTGATTTCATATTGTCTATGCGAGCTTGGTAACAACGATTTTCTGCATTTTCAGCTATAAATATTTTTTGGCTTATCTCTCCTCTTAAATTTTTCACATCTTTCTGTGCTTTCTCCAGAGCGTCATTCATAGGATCTTTAGTTTTACCTTTTTTACCCTTACCTTTACCCTTGCGTTTGCCACTAACAGATTTTGACATGGCTTAGTGATTACAGTATAGTGACAACACAAGACCTTCGTTTATCGGTGTATATATCTATAAAGAGAGTAAATACAATTATCTTAAATTGGTATTTCAGTCCCTTGACCTGTGTAATTTTGTTGAACAATAGAATCATTAGAATGCAACCCACCAAACAGTTCAGTTCTGTGCACTGGACCACACGCTATAATTTATGTGTCAAATCTATTGTTATTAATTGGCTACCTAGACTATGGTACATGACTTGAATTTACCCCGATTAAATACATTTCCGTGTTTTTCTTGCATATCACTACTTATGCAACAAAAGAGAAGAATTTAAACTATTCGAGGCTGTACAATATTTTACAGCTTCCATTATAGGTAAAAAGAGAATTCACAGATATGACACTACAAGTCTTATCAGTGTACAGTAACTATCAGTGTTTGAAGGTACTAAGTTAATTTGTCACGTACCCGTTGTCTCTTAAATCTCAATGAATCAATATGCTTTTTATATGAAAAAGACTTTCTACACTGCCGAACTCAGACTATCTTTCTCTACTAACTCAATAATTTGACTGTGTGCGTGTTCATCAATTCACCTGCTCCTGTGGAGTGGGGCATGTTGCGCATACTCCGAGTTCGCTTTCCAAACTCATTTCCTAACATGTACTAGCCTGATTCCAAAAAGAAGAACACTTCGCAGCTATATTTTAGAACGGTTGATCGATTATGACTACTGGGTAAACACAGAAAACAACTTCAGTGCCATCTATAGAGTTCGTCCAAGCCTAGTGAAAGCTATGCTCCTGAAACTTCAAACTACGAAAGCCACAGTAATTACTATTTTGAAGCCTGAACTCTGCATTCGAATAAATTTGTCCCAGTCGCTCGAGTTGCGATGAATGATCCCCAAAATCTTTTTTTACACATCTCACATATTACAATCTTCCATCCGTCATAACTCTAAGTTATTATTGTATCGTATTCCGTTTAACCATGTTGCATCATTTTATTTAGTAACCAAATATTGCTTCTATCTTGATAAGTCTTCTTCAACTATTAAGTAATCCTTTTGTGGTCTACTCCTTTAAAATTGAAACTGGATTTCCTTCAGAAATATTTTATGAAACAGTCTTTTTCTGTAATCAAGTGAACAGAATATTCGCATACGATTATTGTACAGTTTGAGAATGATATTGTTAAAAAGAGTGACTCTTCGCTAAACTTCTTTTGTTCCAAATGCATAGTAGTTTCGGTGAACAAATAGTGTGGTAGCATTTTATAATTTAAAAGAAGTTTTCAGCATATAATTATACATTCAGACACTAAACCAAACAAATACTAACCTCGAACCAACAATGAAATAATTCATTGGCTAGCCTCTCAGTTTTTCCCAACTGTTTTTAAAACATGTAACAATAAATCATTTCTACTTTTTGTCTACAAATATCGTTATGCTAAAATCTACATGGATTAAAAATTAACCAATGGTCTTAGTATTCATTGGAAGATACCACTGTAAAAATGAGGAGATAGTTTCTTAAGAATGTTTTTGAACGCTGGTAGTTGCCTAAACAGCATTTATCATGATGAAATAACTTTTTATCACTATTCATTTCAAATTTTCGATTTTTTAGTTGACAGTTTATTTTAGCATTGACCAATTTAGCGTAGAATTACGCAGACGACTTTCAATATAACATGCTAGTTCATTCAACTTTACTAGATTTTTGTTCTTATTCATTCATACGTTCAACCCCTAAACAAAGTCTACCGGTTGTTATTTTAAGAAACATTAAAACGCTAAACAGTTGTGAGTGACTACGTAACAGCTGTTTTTGCTGATCCCATTACCATCAGATTAAATAAGTAACAAAAATGAAGACTATAAGTATTTCTATCATTCCTTACTATACGAACGTCTGAAAAGAGGGAATTTCAACTCATTAATAACTACAGTAATCTTGACAAGCAAGAATTACTACCATTCAAGACATCAAATGTGATCGAGTTACCAAGGATGTTAGACGTCGATATAAAATGATAAACTATGGTCATGTTACTGAAACTGGTGACGTGGTATAATGTTATTCGGACACATTCCATAGGGTTCTGAATCGACAGTAGAATTATGTAAGTTAACTCGGTATAACTTTATCAACGGAGGCATCATAGTTGTGTTCTAAGAACCTATATTGTGTATTAATCTTTCCTAATAATATCAACATTTCTATTTCATAAGTCAACCATTTTAGTTTCACGCTAACTAGTAGGATGAAAAGCGTAATCAGTTGATCAGCATCAATCAAAAGTATCATAACTTCTTCGTAGAACAATGACGTCAAACACTTTGAAAACTTTGACATAAGTCTAAACTTACATTTACGATTGTTGACTAGTTTTTTCAACGACAGAAGCAATAATATCTATTGATATTTAAAAATCATACCAATGTACTCAATACCTGTCCAAAAGTTACCATTACTGCCTCATTGTAACTTTTCAATTGCAAAATACTTCCGTGTGTAAATTTTGTTATTATTAATTTAAACACAAATATGGTATATTATGGGCATCAAGAGATGCTCCATGAAAGTGATAAAGTAACACATGTCCAAGCCATCGAAGTCGATATTTCAAGACGACCATATTCAATCAATGGTTTCCATCATGCCGAAGCACCCACCACCTATTTTTGGAAGGTAGGTACAACAATAGAGTCGTTTTGGAACCCTCAATACATTGGGTGGAGCTGTGTTAACTGATCATGGAGCACAAGACATTGAGGTCACTGTTCCTGGAATAGTGAGCTGGCAGAAATATTCCGCCCAGCATTCTAGGCGTCTGTGAAAGCTGGAGGTGAGCCTACCGTCTACTTTACAGGCTTTCTCAGTGTCACCAGAAGTTTTCCAACTGGTGGACCGGGTGAGCTGAAACAGCTCCCAACTATGGTCACATGCATCTGCTGCTTCACTTTACTGACGCATTCTGACCATCAGGCTTCATTATCCTTGAGAAATTTCCATTTGAGCTATTTCCTAAGGAACTTACGCAAGCTATTGTATCCGTCACCTGCTGAAATACACAGACAAACATCAAGAAGTTGTGAGAAATAGATTTACTCACTGTTTTTATGGCGTCTTTTAAGTACAGTGAATCCTCATCGATATTTCCAGGGGACTTGAGAGCTAGCCTCAAATCTGGTTCCATTTGCTATTAGTTCCAATCCTATGGAAAACCAATTTAACTCACCGCCATCCATTCTAGAGGAAAATTATGATAACCACTAATAAGCAGGATGAACTTGGTCCACACCAAAGCGTGATCAGAGTCCAAATAGTTGCTTCAGAAAGAGCGGTAGTTCTGAATACACTCAGAAAACTTGTAGTTTATTCCAATGTGATTTATTTCAGTACGCACTTGAGTGGCAGAGGGAGGACACCAAGTGGCATAACACTGATGGTTGCGCCGAAAGTTGATGCCAACTATAACAAGTTTTGACCCGCATCAAGTTGCAGAAGACGTTTTTCACTATCTGATGAACAACCAGCTAATTTCCATTGGCTACCTTAACGACCATGTTCATGAACTAGATGTCTATGCATTCAAGTTCCCAGCTAGTGTCACTGTGTCTGGCGATTACACTTGACGAAGGTCAATCATTCGAAGGTAGAACTCATTTTTAACTGTATCCGGCCAGTATTCACTTAGAGCGTAGGTAGAGGGGAAGAAGAGATTTCGTCTTCCTTGTCAGTTACTTCTTAACCTAGTGGAAACTCTTAGTCTAGTAGAACACAGATAACTGTTGGTGAGGATCCAGTCAACTGGTCTTTAGAACTTAGTAAGAGACCAACAGCAACAAGGCCAGCTGCTGATGCCACGCGGTATTTAGAAAACCACACTCTGAATAAACTTGTGAGCTAACGGTCAGGGAAATTGTTCGAAACATTTTACGTTAATCTTGTTTGTGGGTCTCTGAGATGCAGCATGTATCAATAGCTTGGTTTTTCAGAGGCAAATCTATGCTTTATTCAATCTAAATTTAGATCCGAACGTTGAATGTAACGAATATAAGAGATACACGGATTTTAGATTAGTGGTATCGAATGTGTCACTGAAGGATAGCTTTGTGGAATCAATTGTTTAGTGACTCACACTGTGAATTTCGATTCTTGCAAGAAGATCCGTTGAGTGCGTACTAGTCTCCAATGCTAGTGTTGATTTATGAATTGCATGTCCCCAGTGGGGCTATACAGACATCAAGACCAAAGCAAGTGATTGTTATTCCACAAGCATTTAACTTGGTTTCCCATCCGGAAGACAGTAAAGCAACGTTGAATTTCGCATATTTATGTTTTAGGGTGACTAAGACGGGTTCATATACCATTCGTCTATCCCGAATCATGGAGACAATGAGCATCACTGGTTTGGAATCACGGTTTTCCAACTCCACGTATACTGTTCGTGTACGCCGATCCAGTTGCAACTCCGAACGTTTGCTTTCTCTCACTTTTGTGGAAACAGCCCTCACCACGTGAAGACGGTGAGTAGGAATTTCCAATTAAAAGTTATGAAAGTGAGCCAATAGGAAGTCCACTTCAATATACCTAGTGAAAATAATCTCAAAATAGTGAAAAATCCTTTGCGTGGTGCTTTTACTTTCACTATCATTTGTGAGTTTCTTTGGTGCAAATAGTGCTCTCCCAGACTAACTTTCTAAGACTGTCCAGTGTTTGACATCTTAAATGCAAAACGCAATGAACGCTTGCTTGGCAATAAACGAAAAACATTGACTTGATGAAGCTGTTCCTAAAGATATGTGCATATATATGTATAAACTGACAAGGAAAGTCACCGGACACTTAGAACGCTTAGTTAGACCTCAATAAACCTACATCTATATCCCTAGAAACAGCTTTTTCACGCCAATTTATTGTTGTGTTTCTCAGACGAGTGTTTGCTCCATTTAACATGCAAGATTCTAAACATTTGATAGTCTTCAAAAGTTAGTC